AAGTTGCTGCTATCTACAAAAACCACCTCGCGTAATGTGACCAAGCTTAAAAAGCTGCGTTTTTGTAAAAGAGGAGTGTCACTTGATCAGTTGACATTGCAAAACACAAAGAATTCATAACCCTTTACGCTTCTATGATATACATTTTACCTATCAGCAAGAGAGATTAATTGCCCCCTTAAACTAAATGAAACCCCTGCAATAATTTTTCTTTTAAATTAATGTGTATGTTAGAGGTAGATCGCCAATAATAAATGATATGATATATTTTCTATTAATTTCAAATATATTTGTAAAATAACCTGGCTGATTATTGTTGAAATACTGGAAATACGAGTACTTACATGGTTTTATGAGATACAAATTTAGCTCCTAAAACTTTATAATAATTGAGTAACAAATGACTTGATTTCTCTTAACATAATGTGGCCGCCCTTATCTCTTTACTATAAATAAACACTTGAGATCCGGCACCACTCAACGGTTTGTCGCTGTGGACTTGCTGATATTTTAAACTTGAGGGATTGTCTACTGAGAAGGAAAAACGGTGAAAAAACGATGGGTTCAAACTTTGCACAAAATATAGAGTACTGGGAGGCTGAATCGCCCTGATAGAGAGAGTTTATTTCAAGCATATACTTGGTGGTTCGCTTACTTTTACTACTGTATCTTCGTTTAGGCCGCTTCGATAGCGATACCATAAAAAAATCGTACTTTTCCATGAAAAAAAAAAATATGACCATGGATTTGAGTGGAAATATGTCCATTGAGTGATATTCATTTTAAAAGGTTCATTCTCTTAGACTTATTTTTCCTTTAGTCAGTGGCTTACTTCATCAGTAATCTGAAAAACGCATCTTAGAATTAGTGAACTTGCCACGGCTGAAAGTGATACGTCGTAAGCTCTGCAAAGTTGGAAACCACCATAAAAACGTCAAAAAAAATTCCTCGACTCTGAGGAGCTGTTCTTCGTCAGTTTTCCACAAATCACCTTTAAACTAATTTTGATGCGCTCGTTCCAGCGGAGTCGACGTAATTCCCTTAATTAACCATGTCAAAAAAGAAGAAACCGTGGAAAGGTCTCTTGTATGTGGACGCCCTCAGCTCCGCTAGTGATATGAACACGTGACTGCGGGTGATTACTTGTACTGTAATTTCGCGGTAGTTCTTTCTTTGATATTCATAGAAAGAAAACAAACCAAGAAAAAAACCGCTGTTCGTAAAATAAAATAACGGGAGCTCTTAGCCCTCTTGGATAAATTAAAACGCTTTAAGGAATTGAAAAACAACAACAAGAAGAAGAACAAAACATGATAAAACATAATAAACAAGAAACTACAGAGAAAACAATCGGTTCTATTGAGGGTACTTCCGCGATTGTGCTATGTGAGATTGATAAAAAAGACCGCATCGAAACCTGAGGCATGTTACGATTCACGACCGACCGAAATAAGATCCTGAAATAGGAAATTATGAGTATCAACAACAGCGAAATTTGTATTTAGTTAGGGGTCAATATTAGCTTTATTATCTTGAAATTGATTTTATTTTTGGTTTTGATTTGAAACTAATTAAGGTTCCTATTATTAGAATTTGGCAAGTTCGTTACTAACTGTTCAGTCTACCACACGGCTGAATCCCTATTTCTTTTTATAATCTGTGTTTATTGCAAGCAGCATGTTTGAAAGTAAAGTATTGTTCGAGTGTGGCCTTTAACTGTTGTGAGATTAAAAATCAAAAGCTATTCAAATTGGAGCGTCCGCCGATCAACAGCATCATCAGAGAGCTCGGGTGTTATTTTTTAATTTTTAAATTTATAGCAATTTAAATCCTCACTAGAACAGTATTTCACTTCTATTTCTGTTGTTAGTAATAGCGACTAAGGGAGTGAGCAATTGAACTTTTCTAAATTAATAAAACTATACAAGACCTTATTCATTCACAAATTTGAGGGTCCCTTGATTGGCTTTTCGGGATCCAAGATTTGCCTCATTTGATGGCTGGTATCCAGGGATTGAGTGCCCCTCATCCCTAAATCCCGAAGATAACATTCGGGATCACGGCTTTGAACGAAAATTTTTGTCGGGATTACGGGATTGAAAAATCCTATTTGAAACCCTCATATTTAGAAGGTGGAGCCCGGAAATAAACCGACAGATTAAATAGCACTAGAGGAGAGTAAGTACACTACTCTAAAGCTTTTATTTGAATGGTTATACCATACATCTGACAAAAGGATAAGTAAATTTAAGAACTACCTTGTACAGCATAATCAGTAGCTTTCATCTATATGGTCACACCAAAGGATTTTATCCACAGACTCAAAAGTTAGAACCACCTTGTGCAACATAATAAACTTTACCACAGGAAAGTACTGCTCAGTAGCTTTCATTTGAATGGTCACACCATAGGATTTCATCCACAGACTCACGTTAAAACCACCTTGCAAGGCATAATAAACAGTACCACAGGAAAGTACTGCTCAGAAGCTTTCATTTGAATGGCCACACCTCAGGATTCAATCCACATACTCAAAAGTTAGAACCACCTTGTACAGCATAATAAACAGTACCACAAAAAAGTACTACTAAGTAGCTTCCATTTGAATGGTCACACAATAGGATTTCATCCACAGACTGAAAAGTTTGAATCACCTTGTACAGCACACTAAACAGACCTACATGGAAGAACTGCTTAGTTGCTTTTATTTTCGTCACAATTCAGGACTTCTAAGAGCACTTCTACTTCAAATGAAAACTTGCTGCATGACAGTTTGCCAAAATGCCCACAGGTCAGTTGTTGTTTAATACGGTAGCTTCAGGTTGTCCTTGTTGACTAACTATGACAAATAACTGCATTATAGCTATAAAGCCGAAAAGTCAAGCACAATTTTCGTAACGGGGAGAACGAAGGTAGACCCTAAATTTTAAGCTGATCAAAATGCTTGCAATCACGTCTTGAGCAGTGCTTTCAATGGTTTTAACAAACCAGACATTTTCACCCCCAAAACGGCAACACTTAGTTACGGTCAATCGATTCAGTGACGTTAGAGACTTTACTCCTTTAAAGCTAATATCTTATATCTAAGTTTATAGTTTATTTTTGTAGAGGAGCGAGGTGTTTGGTATTGACGTAAAGAGTTAAACTACGGATACAATCAAAAATTGTGTTTACCTAGTACGTGTATGTTCGTGCCATTCTGCTTGCATTCGACATTTGCAGTTCAGTGTGTTTGAGGCTTGTTTGTTTGTTTGTTTTTGCTTCTTGTTGAAATTTTCAGCTTAAATTTTGAAGGATATGCCTCAATACTTTTCGGCTCTATACTTTTTTTGTTGTTTAAGTGCGCAAGAACAGATGTAAAATTTTGAATGTTGACTTCGAAGCCACGTCTACTGCGCAGTTTTGCAGCAACTCCTTTGCATTTTAAATCATTTCCTCTTTGAAGATTTTATCTTTCCCGTCTTTTTTCAATAAAGGTAATTGTATCAAGAGCTTTGTAACTCCAAAATTTACATGTGTCATATCTTTTGTTGTCGAGCAATTGAACTGGAATGGCGTTTAAGACCTGAATTTACTGAAACAACCGACGACCAATGGTTTCTTAGTAACTAAACTTTGAGGGTAAGTCATTTTAAGTGAATATTTTATTATTTATGGGGACAATTCTTTGGCCTGAAGCTAAACCTTTGACTGAGAGAATCCGAGTGCATTGAGCAGTAATTAAAACATTTTACTGAAGATCGATTCCCTGACACATTTCTTTTTATCTCCATTAAACTTACCCTCAGCTTTACGTTAGATCATATTAGAAATAGAAGTCTCGAGAACTCCTCGTGAGGAATTTATTGTCTTAAGTACATTATGTAAGAACCAGTCTGCGGTTCTTTAAAAAGAAGGTCTGCGTAACTAGATTTTAATACGGATTTATATTAGCACTTCTGACAAAAATAAACCTATATGCCATTAGGCGGATGGCGATAATCTGTTATTATTGATCGGATGTTTCTATAAAGCCACGGGCGACCGCCTTCACGGCACGTTATGTATGAATGTCTGTCCGCCGCAAGCTTTCTAAGGAAATAATCATTATATATGGGGTACATATCCTCTTTGGTTTGGTTTAGCCTGCCTGTGAAAGGTAACCTCAAAAAATCAAACAGCCACCGAATGACTTCAGGTACCATATTCTGTAATTAAGTTAATTGTGTTTTTAGATGTGGATTTAGAGCAAGAATGCTTTGTGCTAAGATCTTAAACGGAGCTTATTCTCATTTGTTCCACTGGATAGATTGAATAAGCTAGCGAGGAAACAAATCCATAGTCAAGAAACTTGATCTTCGCCGCTGTCGTCTACAAGCACTGTGGATAAATAAGAGGATCGTAGTCGTCGACAATTTGCGGTTTTAGCGGCAGTAACAGCGATCGAAGCTCTTCAGTGCATGTCCAAAGATTGTGGATTTTGGCAAATTATCTCAAGACGCGAGGAACAAACGCTTCATTCAACTATGGGCTCATTGAACCATGAATTGCAGCTCCTACAAGGCAATCATTTTCCCGAGGACTCCGTGGGAAGTACAGAAACCCAAGTACTTCAAAAAGAGGGACGGATATCGCGCAAACTCCTCGTATTTGCTTTTACGGTAGTGACGACTGGAATAATATGTTTGGTGGTCGGCATTGCGTTTCTACGTATGAAAGAATCGCAAAATGACAATTTATTCTCCGCAACGATAAACCCAACCGAGAACACACGACCTCAAAATAACGAGTGCTCGATTCAAACATCGGTCACCCCGAATTTCACCGAAAGTTGCAGCTTCTCGCGGGAGTTCAAAGAATCAGGTATTTAACAAGAATAGCCTTGTTGTTTTAATTAATCGTTTGTTAGTACTTTGGAGTGAAAAAAAACACAGACCACCCACTACTACGAACAACCAGGGCTCTAATCCGCTTTTATGAGCAATTGATTACGTCTTTTACAATTCAAATAAAGGCATCACTTTTGCAATAACTCTTAACGAATAGCTCATGTCGTTTTGGCCAATTACGTGGTCAAAGGTCAAAGCCAAAAAAGAATTTTGTGCAATCGAAAAATGCGATAGATCTTCCGGATTTTCAAATTTACGAGATTGTTTTGATGATTTCTGTGATTTATAAATCTTGTCATCAGATGAAAAAAATTAAATATTCATTTTCTGACTGCAAAGAACTCTGTTAATGGAGAAAATTGAAAGACTATTGAAATGAGGATAAACTTGTTATTTTATAAATTTTTTAAGGCACTTTTCACATTTTGTAAACGTTTTTCTAACAAAGAAATTCAAGAGGATTAGTTAGGAGCCATCTAAAATCACTAAAATTGAGTACCTCTAGCGAAACAGTCGCTAATAAATGCAAATTTAATAACCTTTTCATGTCCTCGAGCAAGAATGTCAAAAAAATGATGAAAAAATCAACAAAGCAATGATTACTTTATTCGATGGTCAAAACAAATTAGCGACTCTCGCTATGAAGTGTAATAGTTAATGAACTCAAACGGAGACCTTTTTTTCACCCTGGAGTTTCAGTGATTATACACTGAGGCACGAATTTTGTATTTCAGTAAAACTGATTCCGCATACAGAATATTTTCTTGATAGCAAACAAATAAAAGTCGTTGCGTGTTCTAATAGTTTATTGAGTTTATCCTAGGAACTTTGAATTCAGCGGATATTTACGTGACTGATGAGAGTCAGGAAGATTTTGCGCAATCTCTGAAAGCCCGGAGGAAATCGTCAAAATTAAAACGGGACTTCATAAGTTTTGGAGAAAAAAAGCCAAATTTGTGCCATTTCAGACTGAAGAATGACTAAAAAAGCTGGACTTCTCACGATGACTATCACCAGAATAGAACGGAAAGGAATGGTAAATGTTCTAACTGTGAAAACCTTTATTAAATCGTTGAAAATTCCGTTCAGCTTAGAATTAGTTTTTTTTGTCTTTTTTGAAACAGCTATAAAAGAAATGATGGCATCGCTTTAGCTTTAAGGCCGAGTGACCTGACCTTTCTCTTAAGTGTTTTTGACTGAGAAAATTTGGTTCATAAACACAAGATAAAACTGGGAAAACTGTACTTAGTAAGACAAACAACAGCGTACGGGAAAAATTGAGCGATACGCAAAAGCCGAAGCTTTCATTTCAGTGATCGTACGATTTCGTCCTCGTTCCGCGCAGAATTAGGAAAAATTTAGTCCCCCAATACAGCGTAATAAGCAGCACTATTCAAATACAGAAAAGTACTAAAGTAATAAAGTAGTAAACAGCATCACAAGAAAATGTTTCTGAAGAAGTTTTTATTTGAATTGTCACATTTGAAAATGTTGATTTTGTCCACACTCTTAAGTTAGAACCACGGCAAAGTACTGCTCAGTAGCTTTCATTTGAATAATTACATTAAAGTCTTCATCCACAGATCGACTCGAAAGTTAGAAATCAATTTGCAGAGCAAAGATATTTCAATATACAGTATTGTACAAGTACGTACGATCTTTAATAGCTTAAAAGGCGTAATACTGCAGCAAAAATGATTGAATGAAAATTTTAAATAATTCATAGAGAAAATTTCTTGAAAAGTAATTGCAGCTTAAGTAACATGAATTAGTTGAAAAACAGTAGGAACAAAATCTCGTGTTGTACAAAAATTTAAGCTTCCACTTTTTAAGGCAAAATTGCGTTGATTACTTTTCAGGGAGTAATCACTTACATTTCACAGCAGCTTATGTAATATATTGGTATACAGAAGAATACGACTCAGTGTGCATTCTTTATTCGTTCATAGCTATATAATGAGCAATTGAAAGTAATTGCTGCAGACTTATTAATCAATACCAAATTACATGTCGGAAACCGAAAGATTAATGGCAGTGGCTGCGCTGCTTCATGGCGAAATTAATGGAAAGAAAAGTCATTTACATTAAGTGACAGAAACTATAAATCTGGAGAAAAAAATCGCAATTTTATTTTCAAAAATACTGAAAATTGAATGATGCTATGTAAAAGTGCGGATGAAGAGATTTCGCCAGTGAGCGATCACATACCGTAAAACAACAAGTCTTTCAGGATGATCGAGTCAGAAATGGCTAGTGAAAAAGGCCTCGTTGTACACGGCTTAAACGGCGGCTGACATAACAGACTCTAGTATGCTGATTGTATTCAAGGATAACTTCAAATTTTATATTAATTAAGAAATTTTGGGGAAAAACAAATAGCGCCGAGCACATGTGTCGATGAAAAGGCCGGATTTCATTGGAATGGTCGCCCATCAGAAGATTTTGTTTGTCTAAAAAACCACGATCTCTTTAATTATGGACACTATGAGTGCGAAGTAAAAAACGTTTAGAGTGATATAAAAAGTTATTATACAGGGAATTTTTACCGAACCAAATAGAAAATTTCCTGATTTCAAAGATACCGAAATGTGTGGCTGGTAAAGTTTTATTTGAGTGTACGCATTACACTACAGGGGCAACGGAACAAAAGTTCGAAATCAATCTCTTTTTCTGACGGGCACAACAATCTGTTTTATACTTATAAATTTTTACGGAACAGCTAGCAGACATTTGTCATTCCAATGACGGTGGTGGCTAAATAGGCCCATGATTTAGCTCTTGTGATATCCAACATGTAAGACAAAAAAAATTAAAATAGTTTTGTTACCAAGAATGGGAAACTTGCCGATTTTAAAAACCGCAAAATCGTATTGAACATCTTGCCAGACAAAGGGACAATCGAAAATTTAAGAACTTTGGCGCCCGGATAGACAACGAGGAAGCCGATTAACAACCCAAATCCCAAATTTAACTTGTATCTATAATTTTCCACTTGAAAAAGAATGATGAGCAATCACAACCTAATCATTACGCAGTTACTTTCTATTTAGTAGGAATAATATAATGTTTTCTATATTCGAAATAAACTTCTCATTTATAAGTTAGAAACACCTTTTTAAATCCTAGCTCTTATCTTAGATCTTCTCAAGTTCGTTTTCTGTTATGCTATTTTTTTTTTTTTTTTTTTGGAACTTACTGCAATATCAGGTATTTCTAGGAATGATTTCATGAGTGGATTACTCACTTTTATAAACCGCAGGGTCATCGAGAGGCGGGCGCCTGGCGCGCTTATCGTCCGGCGTATTGCGCATGTCTTAAAAATTTTAAACATGTTACACATCTCAGTCACCTGTCTACCGCTTCTTAAAGTTCAGCAACCCTGGGAATATTGACGATTCAATAGTTAGAATCTACTTTTAATTAAAATGTAGGAACCAGAGGCAATCATAAATCAGTCTGTCATGATTTCGTGAATCTTTTATTAATTGTGTAGATTTTTAGAAAAACAGCTTACGTTTTTATTAAAGCCTTCTTTAAAATTCATGGCCTTGTATTTAAGATGATCAAACTAAAATTAGCTGGACTGCCAAACCACGCCCTAGTATTTGCACATCTAAAACGGTGAGCCCCTAAACTGATCTTTCACGTATTATCCTAGTCTCATGTGATATACCATTTCATCTGTTCATCTGCTGATAAACGCTGTTTTCAACTGAAAAGAGACAACGCTAACATTTTTAGTTCTTAAGCCCAACAGAATTTTAACTAATCAACTAATTTTTTATTACTAACTATTCCAGATGAGCACTAAAACGGTAACAAATACATGTACCATGCAAGTCGAATTTTAGCCATAAATTGAAAAAAGCTTCAGTATCGATATAATAGATTACATACTATGAAATCCTATTGAAACTTAGGGCTTTGAAACAAATTTTTTGCCCTCGCACGGCCTGGTACTGTCTTAGCCAAAAGGTCACCATTCTTAGAAAAATATAAATCATGTGCCAAAGATGCCTTAACTTTCGTAACATGGCGAAGATTTTGTTTTGCCGGATATTCTTAATACATAAGAACTTACAAGGAAAAAGTAGTGAGGATTAATATTGCAAATCTGCAGCTCCCTATTTCTTGCTTTTTAGTTCTTCTTTGCCAAGTGATTTGCAAATAATAAGCTAAGGTTCGGTTTTAACTGTTTTAAATTTTGCGAATCTGGGATTTGTTGAAGATCGGGAGCAAAATTTAATACCCTGGAACCATGTGCACCATAGAGATTTTACTTTGCAATAAAGGTATTGCAATATATTTCTAACCAAAAACATTGCAATCCTACATAACATATTGTAGCTCACGTCTGTTATTGAGTGATCGACTAGTGCATTAAACGATTGATTTGACTTCAGTCTTTTGGATTCTCCTGGTCTCATCATAACCGTTTTCTCTCCCCTTTTCGATATATTACGATTTCCTTGCTTGCAAATATGATGTCTTTATAATCCCTGCACCTCAATTTAGTAATGCACAGTGAATTGTTTTCTCCCATGCATAAGCAAAACATATGAATCCGGGTGATACACCGCCAGCAGATCCATTAATGGTTGAAAGTTGTTCTAACTTTTACTATACTTTTCATAATTTGCCGTCCAGAATTGTGTTCACTGGAAGAAAACATTATAACTTATCAGGCAATGTTGATATCATTCAATTTCGTTTGGCTATATGAATACCGTTTGTCTATCCATGTTCTGTATTTTTTCATTTTTTGTTTGCTTATATTGGCGTATTCAACGTATCACCAATCTTTAGTTAGTTTCTTATCATAACAGATAAGAGGCGGAGTGCTAAAAGATATCAAAACACTACACTAGCCTTCTGCAACCTTCCGGAAGTTCAAGAAAATCTATTTAAAGTGAATGCTACGTAACGGTAGTAATTATATAAAGATTATGAAACTAAGCGAAGCGAATCCCTACGGCCTCTTAAGGCGTATTTATTGTCACGTATATACACAACTCTCCCGAGGCACATATCGTGAATTTCAAGGCTGATATCGTCTTTATCTTTACTTGCTTCTCAATCTCAAAGGCTGGGCCCTTAAGGCTTAAATATCAATTTGTAATTCACGAGCATGATCATACTATCACGCACACGGAAACCGACTTATTCTCCCCCTTCGAACTACCTTTGTCGGATTCTTTTCATCGTGATCACGAACGCCAAGCTTTGAAATTAGAAACGTCGTGGTTAGCTAGTAATGTTATCTTTCGAAGGCCTAAACCGGCTAGAAGATGAAAAAATGAAAATAACGATTATTTGTAGTATTTGTGATCTGCTTAAAACATGGAATGTAAAACCTTAGGAAAATGAACTTGTCTTTCTATCCTAAAAATTATAACAAAGATGATGCCTTTATCTGAGCATAGCACGGAGGATTTCAGTCATTTTTCGAAGGATTAAGATACACAGGTTTATAAGTTGAACTCGAACGTGGTTAAATAAACTGTTCGCTCAGGAGGAAAAAAACCATAATCTATTCTTGTCCGCAAAAAAAAAGCTTAAGTGAACTACCTTGTATAAAAATGATTCGAGTGAGAAATTGACGGGTGAGAGAATTTCATTTAACTGCAACAGTTATATAAATTCAAGATTCTGCAAATATGGGGATAGCAAATGTTTGGCAAATTGTAACAGTTGCTAAATATGTGACCAAAATATTTATGTTTGGATATTACAACTGAACAATATTGGTAATTACAGCCTGAAATAGCTTGTGCCTGTTTTAACCTCTACACTGAATCACTCTCATCAACTTGTAGAACACCCTATATAAAACAAGTGTTTTTTTTATGTTCGCGCATGTGCTCTCTTTGTTTTGAGATGCATATAAAAGCGAGTACTAAAGTAATCACATTTTTTTTTTACTTTTCCTCTTCAGTTGGTATTTCCCATACCCACCTTTTCCTTTAAACTAAAATACATGACATTAACACTTCTATAACTAAAGTAAATTTTAAAAAAATCTTTTATAAAATATTAGGAAGAATAGGAATACAGTTAACCAAAGCACTTCATAGCAGAGGTCCTTTAATTCGAATTTTCCTTAAAATAGTTTAATTGTTTTTGGAAAAGGTTACATGTCATAGAGGTTTAGTATCTGACGATTAAGAGAGTTCATATTTCTCAGAATATAGTGACTTTTATTCCCCTTCATTGTCTAACGACAAAGCACTGAATAAAGGTATTTGCCATCCGAAAGCTTAAGAGGTTATGACATTAAGCCCAAACAAAAAATCAAGGATTGTATAAGTCTATAATGCTTGGATTATAACGATATGCAAGGCATGAACATTTTTACTTCGCCTTATGACCGTCTTTATATGATTTGAAATCAAATATAAGATAAACAGCGCGTTTCAAAGGCTTAGACTTTTTTAACTAACCCTTGCTGCCAAAGATTTCTAACTAAATTCGAATCGAGCCGCGTAAACCTTAAAATAAAACTTAATGAAATTGATCTGTTTTTTAACTTATTACATTCTGAGTTATTAGGTTTAACTTTTATCAATTACTCATGTTTCGTTTAATTGGTAACTTTAAAAAGTTTTTCTTTTATTATTAGAGCTTAACAGAGGACTCAAATCGAAACCTTTCGGTTACCTTGTTTAGGGAATTTAGTAGGTGTTAAACACCCCGGGGGGACTCTTGGGAATACTTGTTTGAGGGGAGGGCGCAGCTGCCAGCAGCTGTACACAGGCTACCCAAATTTTAGCGTATATGGAAGATCTTTTATCTGCAGTATCTCCAGTATTATGTGGGTGTTCACTGTAACTGCAGGCCGTTAGACCTAGGCCAAACGTCCAACTTTTCATGAGACGAACCAAATTCAGTGAGGTAAGTTCATGAAAAGCTCGATGTTTGGCTCAGTTACTGAAATTCGTCTGTATGAGTTTGGATTGTCCGACACGTAACGGACGAATAGAACATCTGAAGATCGTCTCGGGTACAATTTTTTCGATCTTCACATACGACGAACTAAACTTATAGATCAAACATTTGTATCATAATTAGTATATTTAGCTTTATTCGAGAGAAAATTTATTGAGATTACTTTGGTGGTCTGATTCAGTTGATTGGTTCGACGCGTCCTAAATAAAAGTTCGACTTCTGACCCAACACGACGATCTTAAATTAATTTAGGTCGACTCAAATTAGAGTTTGGTTCATCTCATGAAAAGGTCGACGTTTCGCCTAGACCTTACATTTTGCTGATTTCTGTTCATTCCTCAGGTCTTCTCGGTTTTATACAGAAGCTTAACACCCATTTCTACGAGCTACATCCTTATGAAGTGCCATACCGGCCTCATGTAACTCCTGACGAGGTCAGGAACAGTTTTAAAGCGTTCGATCCAGCCCCGTCAAGTATCAAGAAGATTACAGACACATCAAAGGCATTATTGCAGGAACTCAAGACGATAAACTTTAAAGCGGAGCTTATGAAAGCTAGAGAAGTGAAAGCAGTGGCGAAAATGAATCATTTTCTGCAGCATAGTTTTGGAAATGTGTATGATTTTGACTATTATTCAGGTAAATAAAAAATCGCGAATAGTTTATCTCGTGAAAGCGAAATGAAAGTTTGTATCACGAAATTGTGGCAAAACTGAAGGCGCATAGGTCATTTTTTCAAGTTTTTGGAAAAAAACTCTCTTTATGAAAATGATTCTAGAATTTTCGTAGTCCGCCATCATAAGTGAAAATCAAGTGGTGTTCGTTAAAGTGCCCATAACCTAAAAAAAATTATTTTCTTATCCGAAAGTTCATATTAAGTCAGGAATTTCTGCGAAAAAATTTTGCGATTTGAACAAAACGTGTCTACATTTCTGTGGCGCACCCGTTCAGCTGACCATGACAGCTGACCGGCTCATATGTGATGTCATGTGACGTAGCTTCAGGAACCTCACTTGTCACATCGTACACAAACGAAATCTTCACCGAAATGTCGTCGAAGACTTTAAAAAATCATAAAAAATCATGTTTTGTTCAAATCGCAAATTTTTTTTGCAAAAGTTCCTCTTTAAATGTGTACTTTCATATAAGAAAAGAAATTTTTTTAGGTTATGGGCACTTTAAGATAGACTGGAATTGCGCCACTAGGCAACGAGATGTAAAGTTAAAAATTTGAACCATTTTTTTGGTACCTCCTCACTTGGGTAGCAAGCGTTTCTGCGCGAGTTGGTTGCTTTCTCGCGTAAGAGTGTCGGGTGGGGGGATCAGAGACAATAATCCTGACGTTAAAGCCTCCACTCGGAGCACCTGACCCCAAAAAGGAGGGCGACGCATCCTCTGAACGAGTGACCTTTGTCTTTTTCGGCATCTTGACAGAACTGGTCCCTCGCTAGAAGACTGATCATATTTTTGCTTTTGTTTTCCTTGTTATTTTAAGGTCAGTGGATGCTGGGACCCAACCGATTCTGCTACACGCAAGTCATCGCTAGGTTACCATACCATTTTCGCGCATTCTTGAAGAAGCTTTCTCCACACACAGTGGAAGACTTGGAGACCATAATAGACGCTTTGAAAAGCTTCTCAAGAGGAATTCGGCAATATCACGAAAATGTCAAACTGGGGGTAAAGACTGGAATGGTTGGATCGATCGAGGAGTGCAAAGTAGGATTGCACTGTCTCAGCCAGGTCTACCCTAAAATAGCGGCGGGATTCAGGGAAGAAGACGTCATACTAGGATCCTTTCGATATCCCTTTTTGGCTCGTCAGTTCCTAATGCGATTTGAAAACGCTTCAGCGATGTGGTTCAAAAAGCAAGGAGTCCATTTAGAACAGTCATTGGTGGAGAGCCTGATCAGCCATATTGGTGTCCCTTTAGCAAATTTGTTCAAATACTTGGCGCATGATCACTTGAAACATTGCGTGCCAAGTAATGCGTCCAGCGGACTCTTCAATCGCCCGGTTCGTTATGTGTACAAAAATGGAGTCCCTAATGTATCTGAGCCTGCGAGCAGGCGCCTTCCTACTGGGGAGTTGATCGATGGAAAGTCTGGGTACGAGAGAACGATGCGCTTTTTTACCACAACCAACGACACCGCTGGTGAGTGACGTCACGTTCGCCATCTTTCCTCTTTTTGAGCATCTTTTTCGTTTTGAAACCTCAAAGCCACAAAATATAATCATATTTAGAATAACCAGCTTCCTTTTCCAGACGGTAAGGGTCTTTCTCTTAAAGAAAATCTGGAAAGCGAGATTAAGCAGAGCAGGAAACCATCGCAAGTCTGTGCAATAGATCTTTTTACCGATACAGCGGCCATATTGAATTAATTTGATTTAAGGAGTATTATGGGATACCCAGGGGGCGTGAGCACATTTCGTTTGCATTTTCCAGCGCTTTTCAAGACATTTTTTCTTAAAGTTTTCTTCGAATAAGATTGTAATGGGAAAAAAGATCCTTGTGCCGTGTTTGGATGTAACAACGATCGCCTTTTTCTAGTACGGTATTAGAAATATAATCTTTCACTGAATATTTCTCGGAAAAGAGGAGATCATTATTACATCCAAACACGGCACAAAGATCTTTTTTCCCATTACAATCTTATTCTAAGAAAACTTTAAGAACAAATGTCCCGAAAAGCGCTCGAAAATGCAAACGAAATGTGCTCATGCCCCCTGGGCATCCTATAATACTCCTTAAATCGAATAAATTCAATATGGCCGCCATATCGGTAAAAAGGTCTATTCGACTAGTTATAAGGCACGTGGTTTGAGGCGAGAAGAGACGTTAATTAAACGACTGGGGAGAGTAGAAAGTATGATCAGTTGAATAGCATAGGCATAAGGTAGAGCTAACGAGGGAGTAAAAGAAAGAGAATTCAAATCTTAGTGTTCTTTCCCTTCCCCCTCAAAAAAATCGCGATGTTGCAATTCTCGGATGACCAGCGAAGAACGATAAAACAATCAACAGAAATAATGCCTCTATTCCTCCTCCCTTTCCAAAAAAAACTTAGCTGCTACTCGTTAAGACGAAAGAGCTACTCCACTGCTGTACTGAATGAAATCTCCTGCTGTGGAAACTACAAGACAAATACTGCAATCATTTTAACCCTTTTTTTGTTTTTCCTTCATGTACGCTCAAAGAATCTGTCCACCAGTTGGGCTGGTCCATGCTGAGGTCTCTTTATCCCAAAGCCGTTGACATCGCAAAGACTTTAACAGGGAAGGAAAACACGAGCGAAGCCGTGAGATTATTCCGCCAGTTTATTCATTCACCATCTATGTACTTCAATGAAGAACCCTTCCCTAAAAACGAATCAAATGATAAAGCGCACAGAAAGTGCAATAGCGAAGCAGGTGAGTTTACTCTTTAATTGTATTCTCTCCACACTGGTCTCCATACTTTTTTATGGTACAGTGAAACCACCGCTTTGCGGAAATCCTCTTAATACGAACACCCGTATATAACTCAACTCGCCCGATGTAAGAGAATTCGGATCGCGGAATCCGCGATATTTTTGTTTGCGGAATTTCGGAATCCTGTGCATTGGAATCCAGAATACAGCTCAGGGAATCCGGAATCCCACTAACGATTGCAATCCAGAATCCAAGTTCCACTGACTGAAAATCTGGAACTAGTACCTGGAATCCGGAATCCACGGCGTGGAGTCCACAATCCTAAACTGTCTTGGATTCCTTTACATAGGGCGATATATGACAGTTTAATTTGTCCTGATAGAAAGCCCATATTATATTTTGTGAAATTACCCCGCTTAACACGGACACCAGGGAAACGGACACTCTTCTGTGCCCCAAGTCAGAAACTTTCATATATCCTATATCCTGCTTTACTTACATTAGTTACCTGCCCTCTGTCTTTTTTATTGTTACAATCATGTGCTAAATCTAAATCTAAATCTAATACTGTGCAAATTTCGCACATGGGATATATGTGCACAGGGAAAGGTGAGTAGTTATTTAGTCATAGTAATGGCTTTTACTGATTAAATCGTTAATGTCTTGATATCTTATGCTAAATTTAGACATTGTATCAAGTTAAATGATGATAAATTAATACAATTTTGTTACGTAAATACTAGTATCTGAACCACAAGCACATTTTTTTCTCTTCAACCTAAACAGGCGTGCCTAAATAAGTTTAACTGATACAGCGGAAAATTTCCATGTAAGGAAGTCCTCGGCAATGTATACGATATTGTACACCACCGGAATAGTTGGAAAGGAACTTCGTTATAACATATAGTGACCTTTTGTGATCTATACCATAACTGAATTTTTTCTAATGCTCATTCTCTGTGTCATTTCAGGGGCCCGTAAATTCTGTCCACACCGTTATGCCGCCATGCAGCGCTGGTTCGATTTTTCGCGCAGCACTCTCAGCCAACTAGAACCCAAGCTACTACGGATGTTTCACTGGCCCCTAGGCCCCCGCAAGACTACTCCTGTCTGCCCAGTTGAGGTGGCCATAAACTTCACGCCGTCCACTTCAGCTCAGAGTTACACCTCAAGTTCTCGAAGCTGCAGCCAACCGGCTTGGTTCCGAATGCCTTTCTTTTTAGACCGCATGGGTCCGAAGTATTCCGAATGGACTACGAGCGCTCACGAAGCCAGGCCGGGGCATCATCTTCAGTCTCAGGGATACGTGGAAAATTTTCTGTAAGATTAATAGTCCTTACTCTTGAAATGGCCCTCTTCGTTAATTTCATTCGTTCTAGAAATGTGAAAGTTCGAAAGTTCGGTGACTAATTTACAGAAAGAATTTTTCATGGTTATTTCGTGTTTCTGTTTCCTCACAAACGGTGGACCAGCGCCACTGGCGATCTCTTTTCGTCGCGCGCGCGTCCTTCTCGCCCACCCTCTTTGCATCTCTCAATCTCCCCTTTTTTTTCTTTTTTTCAAAGATTGCCTGCAACCCAGGCTAAGTGCTTAAATTACTGACTGACCGACCGACAGCATTTAGCACGATAGTGACTGACTTAAGTTATTTTTGCATATAGTTCTATGTAATAATTCATGAAATGTGTTGTTGTTTAGGGACTGGTGTGGTCCATTAGTGAGCGCAATGGTAAAGACCCGATATATTGCTTATTCAGAGGGTTGGGCTCTGTACGCAGAGAATCCTCTTATTTCCATGGAAACAGGTAAGATCACACCGACTGTTGTTGTAAGTTTTCGTATAAAAGTGCAGTTTAACTTGGTTTTGGATGGGCAAGATGTGAAATGGCTAAACTTGAAAAGTTAAGTTGTTTTGTTGTCTAGTGATCCTGCAACGAAATCAGTATTAGACAATGAAACGCCTTGTTGTTGATGATGATGTTGTTGTTTTGCCTACATTCTACCAATTTCCATCACAAACCATCTTAACTTATTCTTACATCCGCAATTCCCAATGGGGTAAGTGGAAGCCCATCATATGTCAAGAATTTGACCCACGTGAACATTTGAGTAGACTTCCACGTAATTTCAGTTTATGGCCTTCTTACTTCTTTGCTAAGTAACGTCTGTGAGCTTTTCGGGTGGGGAGAAGCGATGACCGGAAACACGTCATCTTTCGCATACTAGAGGAGGTCTAAGTATACATATATTAGCCATTTCAGTAACACGCCTCGGCTGCACAGTGCATAAGAAGAACCAAAAAGTTGTAATGTAAGGTGCTATATGGATGATTGCATATATAAGGTACTGGCCTTATCGAGGGTCGGATGTGCCCTTTATATTCATAGGCGGCGGAAGCGGAGGGGACTGAGGGGGCTTCAGCCCCCTCACTATTTTTTGTTGGGGGTATTTTTATTTTGAGCCCCCCACTTTTTACTTTGCTCCGCCGCCGCTGAGTACTGTTTGTTAAGTAGGTTTTCATATCTGTCTTTCCCTTCTTCCTCAGATGTATATGACGAAAATCCACTGAGATTCTATGGAATGCTAAAATGGCAAATATGGCGCGCTTTGCGCCTCATTGTGGACACTGGACTTCACTTCAAGGGCATGTCACGTGAACAAGCCATTCAGCTCTTCAGGCATTATGCTTGGGACGACACCGACGTGGCGGGAAAAGAGGTGACGCGATATCAGAGTGGTCCCGGACAGGCCACCGCGTACATGATCGGTCAGCGGGCTTTTATAGACATGCGCGAAAATGCTGAAAGAAGATTGGGCTCAAAATTTGACATACGGGACTTTCATTATCACTTACTATCACACGGACCGGCTCCGCTGAGTTATATCACAAAACGAATTGACAATTACGTGGAGTGTACATTAAACAAGACTTATCCTGAATGCCGAGGATATTTTGCCTTTGAATACGAGCGAAAGCTTTTCAGTCAGAACCAAGGATATAATGACGGTATTGAGTGGGATCACTTAGAGGAATTTTATTTTCCTCCCGAGATTCATGAATTTTAATTCGGTTAGGTGAGTAAAATTCGCCAACCAAAAACAAGTTTCGTTCACAATTTCGAAATTTTTACTCGAAAACAAACATGTCCAGCGCAAGTCACGGATAGCCGCGGATACTCGGCGGGAGGGAATTTAAGGAAATCGAAGAAAATCGATGGCGTTATAGCCTTATTTTTTTTGCTATTGTCCCAACTTTCTCGAAGAACTCGCGCGGAAGCGCTTGCTATGCAGACTAATGGCGTTAGATCACTCAGTAGTAACCAACCAGGAAACTATATTTTTTCATTATCGCAGAGTCTTAGGGCTCTTAATTATTGTACCTTGCTGTAAGAAAAAGGGGTCAAACGCGACAATATCAAATTAAGATATATAAATCAATTAGCCGGATAAACAAGTTTTAGTAAAATCCAACTAATGGTCTGTTATCAATGCTGCGTTCTAATTAGTTGAGCTACTACTAGGCTATATGTTACAGCCCAATGGTAGCGAAAAGCGCCGGCTTTGAAAACCAAAACATTGGCGGCTGAATCGCGTTTTGCTAGCTAAAGTTTTTTGGTCTCGATATTTTTGACCAACTAATTGGATTTTACTAAAACAATTATTCCTCCCGCCCCCATGGCCTTTGAGTCAATAGCCCATACGGCCTTTGGCTTCATGGGCTATTGACTCAGAACCCATTCGGGCTCGAGGAATAATTGTTAAATAGCCATACCTTCTAAAACAGCGGACAGTAAAGAGACATAGTCCAGTGTCTTCATGCCCAGAGGTAGCGACCATATAATATGACTAAGTGACTGCACTGGAGTGCTGCATTTAGCCAAAAAAAAGTCCCTATTAATTTGGTAATGTTGACTGCAATATTTTACAATTACCAATTTTACTTGCTGTCAATATGTGGCGGTATTTGAACACAAACTAATGGACTTTCCGGTTTTCAGGGAATGACAATGGGTCGTCAACAAATCAGCCGTCATTTTAGCAATACGGCTTTTAATTATCCAATTGTAAATATTCTTCATCTCTATTTTATAGAAAATTCGAACATATGGGAAAAATATAGAAAGAGAAATGAAATAAAGATGGTAGAAGTAGGGGAAAAAATAAAATTAAGATCATAACAATTTAACTTGACAGTATGTACCTCATGTAGGTTACTTATTTTAATTTCTGAGTTGTTTTATCTATGGGTAGGTTTAGTGAAATTTAAGCAACCATGACGGCGACTTTTACGAAAACGCCACTATAAATTCAACAAACTCTAGGGTTTCTTCAAACTTTGCGAGGATTATTCGAATTCGCTTAAAATATCAAATGTAGGAAAATTCACCCTAGGAATTCATAAATTCTTCGAGAGCGAATGCAAGTTAAAAAGGAGAAATTAAAATTGGTTGCCCTGTGTTTACTTCCTCGCGTAAAGGATTAGGGACCTTACAATACTACGACGGCGACGGCATCATCAAAAAGCAATAGGCAATTAGTTAGCAAAACAACAACGCTGCACGTGCACCACGCTTTTTTGTACATTTCTCTGCCGCCGCTGCAAGACCACGACGTGAAATGACCAAATTTTAAGTTTTTTTGAGGACAGGAACGGCAAGGCAATTGGCCACTCCAGAAAATACCATAACATACCATAATGTTCTTTGTTTGTCACCCCAAAATTTTGCATAAGCATTGTTTTCAGTTTCTCTTCGAACCATTTTAACTCCCAAGAGAAACTGAAGACAATGCTTATGCAAAATTTTGGGGTGACAAACAAAGAGCATTATGGTATGTTATGGTATTTCTGGAGTGGTCAATAAATTCTGCCATCTCTGTCTGAACTCTGGTGCCGCCCCATCTCTTAAGCTCAAACATAAATTCTCTTCTTTTAAGTAACTGGGCGACTTGGGATAATCGCGAATTGGTTTGAAAGGATGCGGAGTCTATTTTTCCGCGAAGTTTTCATGGACGTCGCCGTTGTCGGATCAGGTAAGGTCTCTAATTTCACCTCGAAGTGAAGGCAAAGAAACTGTATCAAAAAGTGTGGGCATGTGCAGAGTTGTTGCTTTGCTTATTTAAACCAACTACTTTCGAGACGTTTTCGTTGTTGCCACCGTCGTTGAAGGGACCTCAAGCAACCTCGTTCCCAGGTTCTCTCTCCTATCCGACGGGTAATAGAGAACCCTGGGAACGAGATTGGACCTCAAGATCCGAGGACGGCGCTGTTTTGTGGGGCGGGAGGAAGGTTTATGATCTAGGTGGGCCAAGACATGAACCCTGGCTCCTCTAAGTTTTTAGAGGGATTTTTTAGGGTTTTTCAGAGAGATTTTTAGTGTTTAGGATTTTTAGAGAGATTCCCTCGGTGAGACAGGTACTCTTACACCAAACCTATCTCTAGTTTCTTCTATGCACTTGAAAAATTCAATTGATTAAAAACGTAAATATACAGTTTTAAAAAACTGAACAACGGGAAGTAAAAGAAACATATCAACTGACCAAAAAAGCCCAATAATTTTTGAGTAGATATCACTCCCCAAGTTTATTCTTTATTTTACTTTAAAGAGTATTGCTTTGACACTTTCCTGTTGCTAAAAGTACCTTACTACAATCTACGTTTTTGTATACGATACCCTCATCTAGCAAAAACAAGAGAAAAAACGCCGCTTAGTTACACTAGGTGGTTTTTGTAGATGGCAGCGACTTCGAACTCGTCAAGGGCTTTGTTGTACAGTCTATATTCGTCCAGGGTCCCCTTGGTTTTCCAGCCATAAAGTTGACCGATCTCGAGTGGTTTGTTGTTATCCACACTTCCCTGAACAGCTGAGATGTCTAAGCTGTTGGACTGCATTTTGCCGTTGACGTAAACGAAAACTTTCTTCTGTTGATCACGATCAAACACAACAGCGTAGTGGACCCATTTGCCAAGCATCTGGGCCGGTTGATAGCCACCGTCAAACACAATGGGTTTATCCACAAGTTTGTTCTGCTTGTCCCGGATGCAAATGCGGAGACCCTTGTAAGTAGCTTGGGGTCCATGTCCTGTTTCCCATCCGGGTTTCCATCCAAGGCGGCCCGGGCAAAATAACAGCCAAACCCTTTCCTGACAGCAAAGGTTGTCAGCGGATATGAGTGATCCAAAATCTTCGCCCATCCGACAACTGTGAAGCTCGAATACCCAAAATTGCAAGGTGTTATACGGATGATTGCATATAAAAGATATTGGCCCCCTCACTATTTTTCGGTGGGGGGAGGGGGGGGTCACAGGCCCCACTTTTGTAGAATAATAATTAGATTTATTTTATTTTACCACGTTCAACTCATTAGGACTTAAAAACACTACTTTGGAAAGTTCAAGTAAATGTCGACTCGTCGGTTTTAGACAACAAACAACGTACGTAGTCAGTTGGTTCGGGACATTTCATTTTTTTTCTGCACTCCCTCCCCTCCCCCCTCAACCCCTCCCACCCCCCAATGGAAGGCTATCCTATGTAGTTTTTGTTGTCGGCACCATTGCAGCTTGCATCTGACGGGTCCAAAATGTTTTCGGCGTCTTTAAAAAAAATTACAAAGGTCTCCTTTTATTACTTATGGGGGGGGGGAGCGGAAAGAAATGGAATGGCCAATTTTATTTTACATTAGATTCTCATACAAACACTGTAATTTCTCACACGTTTGCCTACTCGTCAAGATGGCATCGAAAACCGTGACAAGGTCTATTGGTTTGAAAGGATGCGGAGTCTGTCTCTCCGGGAAGTTTTCATGGACGTCTCCGTTGTCGGATCAGGTAAGGCCTCTACTTTCACCTCGCAGTAAAGGCAAAGAAACTGTATCAAAAAATGTGCTGCACACGTGCAGAGTTTTTGTTAAACCAACTGCTTTCGCGATGTTGTCGTTGTCGTTGTCGTCACCGTCGTTGAGGCTCTCAAGCAACCTAGTTCCCAGGTTCTCTCTCCTACCTGACGGGTAATAGAGAACCCTGGGAACGACATCGGACAAAAGATCAGAGGACGGCGACCCTTTTGGGGGGGGAAGGTTTGTGATCTGGGTGGGCCCAGACATGAACCCTGGCTCCTGTTTGCAGTGACGGGTTAACAACGATGTTTCGATAAGACAGCACCAAGAAGTTTTTAGAGGGATTTTTTAGGGTTTTTCAGAGAGATTTTTAGTGTTTAGGGTTTTTTAGAGAGATTCCTTTGGTGAGACACGTACTCTTACACAAAAACTTCTCTAGTTTCTTCTATGCACTTGAAAAATTCAATTGATTACAAACGTAAATATACAGTTTTAAGAAACTGAACAACGGGAAGCAAAAGAAACATATCAACTGACCAAAAAAGCCGAATAATTTGGAGTAGATATCACTCCCCAAGTTTATTCTTTATTTTACTTTAAAGAGTATTGCTTTGACACTTTCCTGTTGCCAAAAGTACTTTATTACAGTCTACGTTTTTGTATACGATACCCTCATTTAGCAAAACAAGAGAAAAAAAACGCTGCTTAGTTACATGAGGTGGTTTTTGTAGATGGCAGCAACTTCGAACTTGTCAAGGGCTTTGTTGTACAGTCTATATTCGTCCAGGGTCCCCTTGGTTTTCCAGCCATAAAGTTGACCGAACTCAAGTGGTCTGCTGTTATCCACACTTCCCTGAACAGCTGAGATATCCAAGCTGTTAGACTGCCTTTTGCCGTTGACGTAAACAAAAACTTTCTTCTGTTGATCACGATCAAACACAACAGCGTAGTGGACCCATTTGCCAAGCATCTGAGGCGGTTGGTAGCCATTGTCGAATGACAGCACTCGAGAAACCATTTTGTTCCGCTTATCCCGGATGCACACGAGCAGACCCTTAGCTTGGTAACCATGTCCTGTTTCCCATCCGGGAACCCATCCAGAACGACCTGGTCCATAATAACAGCCAAACCCTTTCCTGACAGCAAAGGTTGTCAGCGGATATGAGTGATCCAAAATCTTCGCCCATCCGACAACAGTGAAGCTCGAATATCCAAAATTTAAGATGGCAGCGTTTCGAATGGTAACCTGTGCACTATTACCGTTGAAGAAACGTCCACGTGAGAACTTGGACAGCTTAGACACGGCGCCGCTGGCTGAGCCGTGGTTCTCATGGCCTGAGTCATCAGCGACCTCGTTTCCAGTTTGCTCATCCATACGCCAATGCCCAACCAAACCAGCTACCCGGTTGCTATAGCAACCCTTAAGAGGGTTACACTGGGGAAAGTACGGCTTCCACTTTCTTTTGGAGCAGACTTCTAAGAGAGTGTGACCGCTATCAGAAGAAGAACGAATCATTCCTGTTCTCATAGTGGTGCAAGGTTCCTCTTCGTAGGTCAGAAGATCAAGGTTCTGAAAAACAAAAATGTTATAGAAATTTTAATCAATTTTAAATTAGAGAAATACTTCAATTTTAAGAAGAAAATAAAGCAATTTTTAAGCCAATAATTATCAATAATAGTTTTGACAGGAAAACTAGCGCACTGCCACTGCCCAAGTCAAAATTCGAACAGCGAAATATCTATCGAACTACCCGCGGAATTTCATAGTTTTCATATCATTCTTATTGGGTTAATTTAAGTGAGTTAAATATAAAAGATGTAAGGATGATTTTTTCTTCTCGCTGTGTCACTTGCTTGACTGTAGTAGTATCTGGAGAAATCGGTTTAGTTTTACTGTGATTTATGCACATAGTTCTGTTAGCTTTTTAATTTTTTTTTGTTGCGACGAAATGATAAACGCGAAGTCGACAATACAAAGAAAATGTATCTTATAGATACAGCCTTAGAAAACTTGTCACTAATGCATTGTTCCTCTTTATTGAAAAGGCAAATTCACAACAATGGAAACAAAACTACTGTAAATCTTATTTGAAACATAGAGCTCTTTCATGCATGAATTGAAACTTATCAACAAACTTAAATTGTTTTTCTTTCGAATTTGTTGCTTAATGAACAAATCAAGTTCATTTTTACTACTGACCCTTACCAAGCACTTAGGAGAACCTTTCAATTGTGTGGGTAAAACAGCGAGAGCAACAGTGAACAGGGCTGACAAGACTCCTCTCATTATGAGCTTTAAGAAGTTCGTCTGGTTGCGATACGAGAAAAGGACGCACCGCGGGGCGAAGAAGCTAATCACTCTTATTGAAAAAGGAAGTGATTCCGTTTGGTGAAGTTGTTCGGTAAACTCTTGTTCCTTGAGGTCTTGAGACCTGAGAAAAACGTCTGTGATCTTATACACCGGCTTAGGATCAAGTAAAATATCTCTTCCGTGGGTGCTTCTAACAAAAACATAAGCACATGAAGAGCATAAACTAAACCTTCCCTCTCCAGCTCGCAACAGGAGACGCCCACGCTAGCTTCTCAACCGAGTGACGTATCATCAGGTATTCCTAATCAAATCGTTGATTCATTTGAAAGTACAATTCTCTCTGATTTTCTTCCTTCTGGTCGTGGTTTTAAAATTGCAGGTTTAAACATTAATAGTCTTACAAAGCATATTGATGAACTAAGAATTCTCCTTGCCGATCGCTCCATTGATATTCTCTCAATTAATGAAACTAAACTTGATGACTCTATCAATAGTTGTGAGGTCCAAATACCAGGCTATGAATTTATTCGTCGTGATAGAAACAGACAAGGAGGAGGAGTAGGTTTTTATATAAAAACCTCGATTAATTTTGGAGTTCGCTCTGATTTGAATGCACCCAGTCTTGAAAATTTATGTATAGAGATTCGGAAACCAAACTCCAGGCCATTTCTGATAGCCACTTGGTACAGACCTCCTTGCTCCTCAATTGATTTATTTTTACATTACGAATCATTTCTTGAGAAATTAGATTCCCTCGGCCTAGAATATTATCTGCTAGGTGATTTAAACTGTAACCTGGCCTCTGCACAATATGATTTAAATACTCGACGCTTATGTGAAATTTCTGATTTATTTGGGCTTCAACAGCTTATAACTCAACCTACTCGCATAACGGAATCCTCTTCAACATTAATTGATTTAATTTATACAAACTATACTGACAGGGTAGTCTGTTCCGGAGTCTCTCATATTGGTATCAGCGATCATAGCCTTATTTACGTTTATAGGAAATTATCTCTCACTTTTCCTTCAAAAGGGCACTCAACCATTTCTTATAGAAATTTCCAAAATTTTAATAGAGAGAGTTTTCGTAACGATATCGCTCAGCAAGACTGGTCCTGTAATGTTTCTGAAGATCCAAATGTTTTGTGGACTGACTGGAAAACGAAGTTTTTGGATATTGTTAATATTCATGCACCACTCCGAACTAGACGTACTAGAACAAATAAAGCACCCTGGATCAATTCAGAATTAAAGAAAGGCATGCGTGATCGTGATGCTGCCAAAAGAAAAGCAATTACATCGAATGATCCACACGATTGGAAAAGGTACAAAAAGTTGCGAAATATAATAAACAATGACATCAAAATTTCTAAAGCATCTTATTATTCTAATGCATTTATTCAATCTAAGGGTAATCCTCGAAAAACGTGGCAAACCTTTAATGAGCTTACATCCCGTCGTGTGAATAATACAACGGTGAAAGAACTGAAATTGAATGATACCATTATCTCTAATTCTAGTGAGCTTTCTGATGCTTTTAATGACCATTTTTCAACAATTGGGCCCAGACTTGCTAATGAAATACCTCTAACTGCTGAAAATAATTCAAGTTATATCAATAATATAAAGGTAAATAACAACAATTTCAGCTTCTCCTCGACTAACTGCAGCATTGTTTTCTCACATCTAAACAAATTATGTAGATCTAAAGCAACTGGTCTTGATAATATTTCTGCTAAAATTGTACGTGAATGTGCTGATCTTATTTCAGTTTCACTATGTGATCTCTTTAATAAATCTTTAGTCTCTGGTATATTTCCTGATGATTGGAAATGTGCTAGAGTTACTCCGTTGTTCAAGGAAGGTGAGCCATCTGATCTGAATAATTATCGACCTATTTCAGTCATTTCCGTTATAGCTAAAGTGTTTGAAAGGATTGTTTATGATCAGTTGTATAACTTTTTGACCAATGAAGATATCATTTCTAATCATCAATCGGGTTTTCGCTCGTTACACTCAACTGCAACTGCCCTTCTGGAAGCTACGGATAATTGGGCCTTTAATATTGATCGTGGCAATGTTAATGCTGTGGTTTTCCTCGATTTAAAAAGGCTTTCGACACCGTTGACCACGATATCCTTCTAGCTAAAATGAACCTTTACGGAATACAAGGTACAGCTCTTGATTGGTTTAGGTCGTATTTAACTAATCGTACACAACGATGTCTTGTTAATGGTTCTCTTTCTAGAATCTGCTCTCTTAAATGTGGGGTACCGCAAGGAACAATCCTTGGCCCCCTTTTATTTCTTATTTATATTAATGACTTGCCAAACTGCCTTACTTCGTGCCAGCCTAGAATGTATGCCGATGACACCCACATTACTTATGCTGGCGTTGATGTGAATTCAATACAGTTAACTCTGAGTCACGATTTAGATAACCCTAAACAAATGGCTTATTTCCAATAAACTTACTTTGAACACTTCTAAAACTGAATTCATGCTAATTGGCTCCAGACAAAAATTGAGTACTTTGTCGAACCCACTTGAGCTCTCGATTAATAATGTTCCGATAGAACACGTTTCCTCTGTCAAATCGCTTGGAATATTTATTGATGAAAATCTACGGTGGCAAACACACATTGATAAATTATCTAAAAAGGTCGCTTCCGGAATTGGAGCAATAAAAAGAATTAGACCTTTTGTCCCTCCACCTACCCTTCACTATATATACAACTCACTAATTCAATCTCATTTCGATTATTGCAATCTTGTCTGGGGTAATTGTGGTAAGACATTATTTGACAGGCTACAGAAGCTTCAGAACCGTGCCGCTCGCGTTTTAACCTTCTCTAGCTATGATGCTGATGCTAACCGTTTGATTAGACAACTCGATTGGAAAGACTTGAGCACTCAATTTCAAATACAGAAATCCATAATGGTATACAAGTCTTTAAATGGCCTTGTTCCTGAATATTTATCATCTAAGTTTGTTAAACGAAATGAAACGCGTTACTCCCTGAGGGACTCTGTTAACAAACTATTTGTCCCATTTCCGCGAACTAATTTCATGAAAAACAGCTTTACTTATAGCGGAGCAGTTCTCTGGAACAGCCTACCCTGTCATGTGAGAGAAGCCGAATCTCTTAGTCAATTTAAAAGATTAGTTAATGTTCACTTTTAATGTTATACACGGCATTCATGAAAAACAGGTTTTAGTTAGATTAGTTGTAGTCAGGTTTTGAATTTTGTTTAGGATAGTTAGGTTATTTTTAATTTTTTTAAATTCCTGATGGATTTTACCGTGTTTAAATAAAGATTGACTTGACTTGACTTGTGCAATTTTTACCTGCAAAGGACCGTGACGGTCGTTGAGCATTCTGGGATGTGTTGTCATCTTGTTTATTCCGTCAAATCCGTCGAGCTATCCGCTTGGGTAGGAACTCCAGTCTTCCACGAGATTTTATGGTAAAAGGAAAACTTGATTCGAACAACTTTCAATCCATCAAGCATTTTGAAAACTTTCGCTCAACGTTACCTCGAGGAGGTCATGCAGCCGTTTGAAAATATAGAGAGGTTTGAATAAAAACCTAGTTGTAGTCTGTCTTCACCTTGCCGTGACGATCTGAGGTGATTTTGTAGCCTGCGAAAACAGCTGTTTCTACTCACTCCTTGCCGCAAGGGACGTTTCGCAGTAAAGACTGACGAGGACAGTACGCTTGTAGCCCACGATGCTGCAGGAAAGCTCTCCTTAATTTAAGCGGATAGCTTTAGTGGAAGCGTCGTGAAAACAATCGCGGCTTTCACCCAACGAGGAACAGATTTAGTCTTTGGAGTAAAATTTGCCTTCACGCTTTAATCTTCAATCCATCGAGAGGACAACGATTGATTTCTCAGATTCCTCGGCAACAGTAGATCGTGGACTTATCAGAGTGCCATGCGTAGTCGTAAGCGAGCGCGTATGTGTCCAGTCATTCAGGAGTCGATCCGGCCTTTCAAAGAGCCCTTTCGTAAAAAACAAGGTGTAAATATAACTCAAGGGCTAATCGCCATTTTTTCCTCTCTGTATTGAGTAGCTTGCACTTAAATTGAGTTAACCTATGCGTTAGTACCTTCGGTCTCTTGAATATTTCTGTATTATTCTCTACTTCCCTATTATTACTCGGACATCCCAAGTATCGCCTTTCTTTTGTGTGTTCACGAAAGGAAAGTAATCGCCAGGCCTTCGCAGGCTACTGCGCTGTGGCTCCTTTACGCTCTCTCTACTAGGCCTGTCCCGATTGTGCTCGATCGGCACCTTTTTAGCAACAGTTTTGAGGTTCTAGCAACCTTAAGCAACTTTTGCCTTTCTGAGCAATTTTTGAGCAAAATACAGGAGAACATTTCAAGCCCGAAAAAGTCGTTGACATTTTCATAGAAAACTTCAATTTATGCGAATTTTCTTGAATATTTACCCACCCGTTTGAACACCTAACTTTTTATTTCACAACGTTTCGCCGGCCAAACAAGGCATTTAAACATGGCTAAGAGACTTCAAACCGGCAATTAATGTAACACAAGAAAACCCCCAAGGTAAGTTATAAGAGAAATTCGATGCGCATTTTGCTAATTTGTAAAGCAAAACATATTTCTCCTATAATTTATTCTTATGAATGAATAAAATACGGTAATGTGACTCATGGACTATCGGCACCTAAGAGGCCAGAGACCCCCCGGGGAGGGGGTATTCCCCTGTATAAGCTACTACAACCGGACGGCACACCCCCACCAAGAATTCCTAGGGGTACCCCCGGGCCTGAAACGCGTTCAGCGCACAAATAAACACAAGAAAATACTAAAGGTAAACTTAAAAGGAAAAATTTAGATTTCACTCAAAGAGGATGATTAGTTAGCGAAGTAGGAGCAACTCTTCAGTTTTTCAGGCTATTTTTCTTAACCGATGTTAGCACTTATTGTGAATTAACGTTTACATAAAAATATCAAGACATTTAGGTAGCAACTTTTGAAATTTGGGAAGCAACGTTTTGGATTTTTGGCAATTTTTAGCAAGTTTTTGGCATTCCAGTGAGCAACTTTTCAGCATTTTACGAGCACAATCGGACCAATCGGGACAGCCAGGCCTACTCTCTAAGCTCACTAAACAGAAAAAAGAGGGTCTATAAATATACAATTTCTGTGAAGAATATTATTTCAAAATTAGACGCTTTTTCTGAGATTTTTTCAGGGGACTGGAGCATCTCAAAATGTCGTGATTTTTGTTTTTCTTTGGGAGGGTAAGTCGCCCCGAGTAGGGAGGGGGAAGGGGAGTCCAAACAAATTGTTTACCGCGGAGTCCTGGGTCCCGGGCAAGGTGTCTCAGAAGAATGAAATATTCAAGATGGCGGTCCATTTATCTGAGGAAAACGGAGCTATTTTACATCTCTCCGATGTAGAGAAAAACTCCAAAGAATTAAATGAACGTGGAAAAGATGCTTTGAAACCTCCAACCGCAGCTTCCAAGATCGAAATATTGTGCAAAACGCTGGCGTTCCTCATTGTTCTTTGTTTGTTTTGTATCCATCTCGCGCGAGTTCTTCGCGAAGGTACGGTACCGGCTTGCTATTTTATTAGATTTTCTGCGAATCAAACGCTTCTGCTGGTTTACATAATTATTAAGTGTTTTTTTTTTCATTTTATCTTGTGGTATCGCAATATTCTGGACTTAGCTGTTCATTGTTTTGGACACGTGTCGATCGCGATCGAAGATCGATAATTGCCCCAAAACGCAATTAACAGCTGAATTAAGCTTATGTATGAGACTTTCAGTTAGATTGCTTACATGTAATGACTGTTCTAAGTATTTAGAAAAACGCTAGCTTAAAAACATACGTCAATTTTTTTAAAAAATGTTTCTCCGGAATGTTGTTTCAATTGATATATGTTTAGTTAGTAACACTACATTGACTTGTACTTGACATTAAGCTTCAATAATGAAAAAGACATGATGTTTTACAAGGGAACATAACGTTCACTTCATTTGGGCAATTTGTACCAGTCGTATAAATATCTTTTGTTAGAAGGATGCTCTTTTCCCTTCTTTTTTTTTTTAAGCAGCAAAAATTTTCTGCATTTCTTTGCCAATGCTTTTTACCAGGAAAAATTTCATTTCAAACAAAAGCTAAAAGTACTTGGTCAACAACATAAATATTTATTTGGACCTTATGGGTACATGTATGTTTAGTTGGTGAGGGGTGGGGGGATGGGGCTCGGGTGGGTCTAGATCCCCTTAACCAGTTTACCCCTGTTTTGGACATTTAAACCCCCTACTTCAATTTTAGGGTCCACTCAAAAATGTCTTATGCCCCCTCTATTTCTTTTTTCAGGGTTTTCACTAACAATTCTAGTAGTGGGTGAAAGGATGTAACTTTACAGGAGAATATTGTGAAAGAGGCTCTATGTCTGAATAGAAAATAGTCATAGGCTATCGCACGTTAGCCAGAGAATTCTGTGAAGTAAATGGAGAATACTCCGTTGCCTAATGGACAGCCTGTTTTTTTAAGGGATGTCTTTTTGAGGCTCATGCCAAAGTACATCATTTTATTCAAACAGGTTCTGATAACTGTCCCAGTATGTTTCGGTCTGGACGTTGGAGAGGAAGTTTTTGGCAGCCACATGGGTGTATGCTGCATTCATATATATCAAGGTTTGTACACTACAATACATTAATTTGTGCTCAACAGTAATTATACAACAAAATGTGGGCTTAAATTGGTTTTCACCAGCGAAAGAGTTCAGAGTCAAAATCATAAGAGGGGTCGTAAGAGCGCTTATATCCTTGTGAAAATCAAATATCGGTGTCCTAAGCAGAGTCATAAGCTTGACAGAGTTGGAGTTGGAAGAAACAGAACTTTTCCATTTTCTTCCGATTCTGCTTATGACTCGGTCATTTACTGAAACTAGTGACAACCAGATTGTTGAAGTCAGAAGCAGAAGTGAAAGGATAAACAGGGTTTGAAAATACGCCAAAGCTGGCGTATTTTACGCCAAAATTGTTCAGATGACTCCACTGAGGTTACAGAGGGAGTCACTTTGACTCCAAAAATTTTTGGTAAGAAACAGGGAGCCACTTTGACTCCAGAAATTTTTGGTAACAAGCACAGTTTTGTCCTTACCTTTTTCGCAGCAAATACAATTTACGTTAATTGTAAACGTTGTAAACCTTAAGTAAATCATTAAAATTAAAGAATTATACTACATAACAAAACAGGAAGAGGGTAAATTACCATCAAAGTTTACTCGATGACCGCTATCATGGATTTGAGCTTTCCAGGTCAGCGGGCTGCCACAGCTACTTCGCATATCCCTCACAATGGTGTATACATACCGGGACCATGTGCTGGAAAGTCTGATACTTGACTCCAAATATTCCAAAATGACTCCAAAATTTGTGAAGCAGAAGTCACACTGACTCCACTCATCAATAAAATTTGCAAACCCTGGATAAACCAATCACAATGCACGTTCCTACACTTTGAGATTGATTTAGTTCTTTGGCTTCTGCTTGCGACTCTGACGACCCAGTTTTCACTCAATCGTAAACGACAGAGTTGTGTGGGAATCAAAGCGCTGTTTTCATGAGATTGTTAAGTCTTATGCTTATAACTAAAACCATCCTTTGATCAGCTAGGTTGTTTATATTGTTATCAACATTATGAAATCAACTTAATATCTTTTCATTGTTGCAGTGAATTGAAAACGTGTTTACAGAATCATCCTGTTGCATTTGTTGGTGATTCAAGAACCAGAGGGTTGTACTATGAATTGGTGGAAGCAGTGAGCTTAAATTCTGTCAAAGACAGTCGAATTGCTGTAAGATGAGTACATACATGTAATAAACATCACTGTTTGTTGATTAAGCCTTTAGGTCCAAAGATTGACTAACATCAATTTTCTACTAACAACATCAGCAGATCATCAAGAGTAAAGGTTATGAGAATTACTAAATTGATGACCAAAGAAATGTATGGAGATCAGTCTGGAGAATTTGTATGTGGATCTTTGGGCTTAAAAGGTTAAGGGACTACAGGGTGTATATCATGATGATATTGCTATAATTATTACAATTATTTTAGGTCAATTCTGTCATAACTTAGTGCCTTTACCTAAATACAAATAGGCCTTTTGCAATAGTAGGTTACCCATTTAAGGGCTCAAATTGCCTGCCATAAATAAATAAATAAATTAAAAGGAGATTTGAGGAAGGTAGTGCTTTAAGGAAATATTTTGCGACAGTTTAAAAATTTCGAAAATTACAAGGATTTGTATGAAAAACCATTCCAGCGTAACTAAGTGGCAAGACTTGTTTTCCCCATACAAATCCTTTCATTTTCCGGGGCCCTTTGCAATTGCTTCTTTTGAGATATAAGACTGAAAATTTAAATGTTACCTAATTTTACTATGCTCTTTCAACCCGTGATAACAAAATTTTCAAAGGCAAACTGTTTTCATGTTTACAGAAAGTTGATCATGTGATCAACTAATGCAAAATGCCTATTGCTCCACTTGTAATGTTATGAAGAAGATATCAAGCGCATTTTATCAGGGAACACTAACCATAAAAATTTATTTGTTGGTGATTTTTGCAGGCGTAGCATTAACCCTTTGAGCTCCTATAGTGACCAAGATCAATTTTCTCCTAACAATATCCATACATTGTCAACAGATAAGTTATGAGAATTAATAAAATAATCACCCAAGTAAAAATGCCTTGATCTTTTATCAAATTCTCTTTACTCATTCTTTAAGGAAATATATAGAGATTAGTTTGGAGAATTTGTATGTGGATACTGGGGCTTAAAGGGTTAAGTTGTTCCAGTTTTTCAAATTTTAATCCATGTCATCTTTGCGATCCATTGTAAGAGATGACAAAAAATATTTTCAATGGCCAGTTATAGTCTTCAATAACAAAACTGGACCATCATTTTTTTAAATTTGATTGATTCAAATACAAGTTATAGCTTTTTGAAAGATGGCAAAAACTGTAGCATGACATTGCCCCTTAAAGGGTGGATTAGTTTCTGACATACTCAAACAGTTTTCATATTTGCCCTTTGAAGTATGTATTTTTTTATTTTAGGGTTAAAAAGCAAAAATACAATGGGCTGAATACAGCGAATGGCAGTGAATATACTGTTCATGTGTAATGTATTCTGCAAATGAATTAGACTGCAAAACGTTCTGTATTTTTGCATATTCAATTACGCCAGAGGAGACAAACAGAAGGTCTGGAGCAAGGCTGAAAACAGAGAGCAAGACTGGCGAGAGACACTAAGGACAGTCAGTTTTTTCTCTCTCTCACCTCACACGCCTTACAGGTGTGTGAGGCTTGCACATTTTGCACGTGTGAGATGGTTAAGCTATGCTAAATGTATTTTGAGAAGAAAACTGACCCTAAGATGACCTTGTATAATGCAGTGAAAGCTCTTAGTTTAAAGCTACTCATTAAGTTTGCACCAGTTAACTTTTGGTAAAGTTCTAAAATTTATGCCTTTGGGAAAGTTGTTTTTTTCTTTTCAGCCCAATAACTTTTCATGTGATTGTTTTTTTTTTTGCAGCATACTGATTTATCTTATATTGACAAGTCAAGCAATACAAGTGTGGTATGCTAAATATATTTTTTAAATATTTTAATGGTATTTAAAATATTTTAGCAGAGTTTTATTTTATGAAGTAATTTTATAGTTTTAGCCTTATCACCACTTTTTAACTGTATACAACCCTTTTCAAAACATCTTGGGACACTCAAGGACACTAGGTGCGAAGACACATTTTGCTAAATGAACTCATTACATGTATATTGTACCTCTGCAAAAAGCAAAGGAATTTTTTTACAAGAGCCTTTTTCTACTAACCCCCTCTCCCCCATTAGTGTCCATTGTGTTATCATGTATGCATGACTTCAACACTGCACCAGGTTGGGGGGGATAGAAAATGTGTCACTTTGACAAGCTACAGCTGTATTGTATTAGTGTCCCAGGAGTTTTGACTTGGGTTGTAGCTTTTCTTGATTAACAGCTATTAACAGTTATTTTTATTTTTTATCATATCTCAATATTTCTGAAAATCCTTAAATCCTTAAAACTTGTCAGGCCAATTGAGTCAGTCTCTATTAATTCTTTTGCAGTCATTTTATTGGCAACCAGAAGTAAATCTTTCTATGAAGGGTGTATATGACGAATGGATAAAGGTAATATTTTATTTTATTATATAAACACCAATGAAATACAAGGTGAGCTTTCGTATGAAAACTTGATACTTCACATGTGAAAATAACTTGTTATCTTCACACGTGAAAATATCACTGTTGCTATGGCTACATAATAAATCGCGCCTTTCACACCAAAAAACTATTAAAGTGAAATGGTTTGGTATTTCATTGGTGTTTATATATTAAATAGAATATTACATGGCTGCTTGGAGATACAAAATTTCTCTTCTCGTGTTGAAAAGAAAAAATATTTCAGTTGTTTGCTGTGCTCACATAATATGAAATAGTTTTTTAAACACAACAACAAAGAAATTTAAGGGGCCGACCATTTAACTCTTGAGGGTGGGGGTGGGTGATTTCTGGTCATCAAGAATTTTTTTTTTTAGCAATATGTAATATCCTTTATTTATTTTATTACGATAATATGAAATTAGTTGTTGATTAATTTACTACAACAAATGAAATGCTGTAATGTCTATTAAAGCCCCTGGCAGCCTTGTTTATTCAGGGCTTCTGATATTTCGCGCGGTAGCAGAGCCGCAAAATTCAGGTAAATCCGCAAAATCCCGCGAAATTCACAAAGACTCGTAAGATGCCGCGAAATTCAGTAGAAATCTTATCAAATACATGTCTGTACAACATATTTGAAACTTATTTCAGCGATAGGGGCTATTTACTTGCCGTAAACTTGTAAATTTATCTTAGAACTTCGTCACTGAAACGTGCAAACAACATCCCGAAACTACCAGGCGTAGATTGTATTGCGAAAAAACTGGACACTAACCATGATGTTAAAGGCTTTGCCATTGGTTCATTTCTGGAGCGTATTGTTGTTGAAAGAGCAAATGATGACCTCTGTTAGAAAAACGTTAAAAACGCTGGTCTGATCAGCGCAAAGCCGATTGATTCCTAGCGAAATTTGCCTTGAAAATAACCACAAAATCGGTCGATTTTGTCCCTAAAAATCTGGCGAAATTTGACTTTTTCTTCTGTGACCTGTCAGAAGCCCTGCTAATTATGTCGTTAGGGTGAAGTCTTACGTGAATAGCCTCTTTTACCCCACAAAAGTACCAGTGAGGTGTCGGCCAATAGTCTTACAGTCAAACCAGGAAAACCGTGAACGCCAGAAATATTTCTGGAATGTTATCGTGTTGCAGGAAAAAAAGCCAATCAGGTAAGAGAAAACTGAACTGCAAGCAAGAACTTTAATTAGTTTGTGGTTTTGTGGGTAGTTTGTATCTCCTGATCTTTGTGACTGGTCATAACACAGTAAACATTCCTGAGATATTTCAATTGTTCATGGTTTTCCCGGTCACACTGTAACCTCGTCCCAAAATGGATGATGCCCATTCTTAGTGGCATGTTCAGAAAACGCTGAGGTTTGAGTTCCTGAAGGTGTTGCGTCTGTCTAGTTCATTTTGTCAATTAATTGCCAATTATGCTTCCTTATGCGCTGTGGAACTTGAAGTAAATGAAGAAATTACTTGTAAAAGACAAAATCACAGCTTCATGTCTAAAAAATATACTTCCTAAAACATCAAAGATGAAGTCTGGAAAATGTTAGGCTAAGGAGTTTTCAAAAACCCACAATTTTAATTCATTTTAATCTTCTACAAGTTTGTCCATCTGTGCTTACTTTTGTAAAATTTGCTGTGTTAGTGATACCTTCTTTAATTGTTTTGAGTCCTTATTCTTATGTTTCACTCAATTTGGTTTCAGTTTCTACCATTAGAGTTTTGACAGAATTCGTGACACAGCTACTTTAATACCATCGGTGTTCTACTCCTTAAATCTGTTCATGCATGCGTCTTCCTGTTTCACCAATGTATATGTTTCAGGTTAAAATAAATTAAATTGAGGTTAAAATTTTTTAAACTTTTAATTTTCAGTTTCCTTTGTCTCGTAGCCCTAATTCATCAATAATTAGGGCCAGGAGACAAAGGAAACTGACAATTCAACCGATGTTAACTAAGTTATATTTTAACCTGAATTTAATTTGACCTGTAACATATACGTGTACTTTCCCACCTTTTTTTCCATTTAATTTAATCACTACTCCATCTTAATGACTTTAAGATCTCATTTACTACAATTTACAGTATGAATTCTTACAGTGAAAATCCTGTTACATGCAATTTCCTTTTTCTAGAATCCACAAGAAAGTCCGCATCTGATCATTACAGGCAGTGGAACGGTGAGTGGGGTTTAACTTCAGTTGATCCCGGGGGGTGGTGGAGGCACTCCCTTTTTTAGCCTACACGGGTATGTGCCGCTGAACAGGGTATGGTTTTAAAGGTCTTGAGTCTTCAACAGGGTATACAATTTCACTATTGAGCATCTTCACAATTGAGCATCAGGGTCAGAAAGTAGAGTCTCCTGTCTTAAACAGGGTAGCGAAATGAGCAATTTTTGTCTTAAACAGGGTCAGGGTGTGAAGTCCTCGGCAGCACACCTCTTCCTAGAATTCCCTTGAGTGCCCCCCTCTCCCCACCCCTCCCCCAGGAGTTGATAGATATAATTCACGTTGTAACAAAAAAGGGGGAATTTGGCAGGTTTAACCCTGTTAGCAGTGATTTTGTTACAAATGGTTATGGTGAGTCCTGGGATTCATCTTGTGAAAAATCATGAGTCCCAGTGCAGAACCATTGAGTCCCAGTTCAAAAATCATTTAGTCCCTGGGTCTTCATGTAACCACACAGTTAATCTGAAGACAGACTCCAGAACTCTGTATTACAGTTTACTGAAATAAAAATATACTCCTTTAATATATTGTCAAGCACAACAAAGACTAAAAGAAAATCTGGGTCATTAAACAACAGCCGCAAGAACAGCAACAGAAATCACCCAAACAGGATATTCTACAAAAACATCTTCAGATCAATCAATCAAACTTTGCGTCCTATGGGACGCATACCACAAATTATTTTGCGTCTTTGGGAATTTTTATGCATCAGGGATACAGGATGCAGAGGTAACAGAATCACTTGTTAGCAAAATAAGTCACAGACTTCTACTTATAATCCAGATTTTAGGTTTGTTTTAGTAGACCTTTTGTGCTTTTTTCATTATTTCTTTTTTTGGCTACTGGTATTATTTACCTCCTCTCATTGCCCCCCACTATGTCCTCTTGCTGTAAATGTTGTAGGTCAAAATTAAATTCAGATTACAGTCAAGCCAGGTCAAGCGTACCCCCCAAAATACCATTAATGAATTTATCATTCAAAAGTTGAGTCGGTTGGCAGTTGTAGATTTGAGATTAATCTCTACATTCTTACATGCGTAATGAGCCGTGAATTCACACGTGATTCAGTTACGAGATTTCTACCAGCTCAGTTTCCCTGAATTTGATGTAAATGTCTTCTAAGAATTTTGATTCATTCAAAGATTTTCAATCTGACCAAATACAGACAAGTTCTTGTAAATTATTCACTGCTCATTACGCATGCAGTAATTCCGAATTTGAATTTGACACTAGTTACAGGAACAATTAACGGATTCATTTTTCAAATAATCAATTCATTAATAGAATCTTGGGGGGTACGCTTGACCTGTTTTGACAGTAAAATGGTCTTAACATAACTATATTTCCTTGAACAATAGCCGCCCTCAATTAATCGTCTCCCTCGAATAATCTTCACCCTCAGATGGAAATATTTGAAATAATTGCCTCCCTTGAATAATCGCCACCCGCACCCACCCTTCTCGCCATCTTTTTTTATCTCCTCCTTGTCAAGTTGAAGTGGAGTCTGATCCAGCAGAATTGATCAGTGACGATTTAAGCTCTGACAACGAGGATATTGACATTGAAAATTAATCAAGGAATCAAATTTGGAGCACTTAAAAAGCCCATTTAGTTTACATGATGTGATCATTTTCTGATTAAATTGGATAATAAAACAAAATATTTAGGGCATGACTTTCAGTGAGCAATATTTGAAATAATTGCCCCCTTTTTGTGCAAAAAAATAATAATCACCCCCAGCTATTATTCAAGGAAGTACGGTAAGTTGATTTTCAATTTTCTTTGTCTTCAAACTCTAATGTTAATTATGATCATGTTAATTGGGGCTAATAGCGGTAATATTTATCTATTTTACATCATTACAGTGGACAATAAAGAACCAAGGCTTGGATGCAGTTATGAATTATGGACGTGAGTCTTTAAGTAGTCAGTTACAAAACCCCAGTATTATAGAAAAGGAAGCTGTGGGTTTAAAATTTGCAATCTGCAATTTGCTGTCTAGAGATCCACATTGCTCTTCCAAATCCGTTAACATTGACGTCAGAATTCTTGCTCAGAGTGCGTTACCATCGTTAGTCTGTCCTTCCTTTAAACTTACCGGTAACATTGAAAAAGATAAAATATGCAAAGCCTTGTCAATCAAGGAAGAAACTGAATGAACTATATGATTTTGATCCTTTTTGCTAATTCCTAGTATTATGGAGTAATTGTCATAGGGGGCATCTGTTAGATCTATTAATAAAATTTTAGCAGCATAGAGGGGGAGTTTGTTCGATAAAAGGCATTGTGGGCATTTATAAGGTCATTTATGAGTTCAGCTGTTCACTTGTTTGTTCCCTGTACCAAATTTACTGCACTCAACTCCTAAAGAATATCTGTGGGCTAAAATGTTTTTGGTGGATGCACAATGAAAAAAGAAAATTAGTGCTCAAAATTGATGGTAATCTGTTAACCAACGGTTAGTAGTTTCCAAAAATGAGCCTTAGTAACCCGACACGGTTAGTAAAAATGTCTGTAATAGGAAATGTGTTTCTTGCATAAGAATGAGTTTCTCAAACAATTTATGTAATTTTAACCAACCTATCTTTACATTTGCCGCATTTATTAACACTATTTAATCACAGATTCTTGGATAATGAACTTTATAATTTGGTGAAGTAAAATTTATGCCCACTAACCAGAAGGGTTAGTTAGCCAAAAATATAATTTCGAGCCCTGAAAATTAAACTTGAATTAAAACATTTTAAATTGTCTGAAAGTCTCTTGATGTTAAATTGATTTTATGCTGAGAAAAAAGGGTTTTTTCTTGGTTCAAGATCTGGGCTCGAGCTTACTGGACTTTTGAGGCGTCTGGTTTAGGGCTAATAGGACTATAATGGGGTTCAATTCACACCTCTCCATCACTTTATTCCAGAGTAACCTCCTGGGGACAAATTGTTTATTCATGTCTGTCAAGTAGGTGGTCTATCTTTTGATGTTTTCTTTACTGGTAATTTTTTTTTGATAGAAAATTTAACCAAGGTGAAAAGTTCAATGGAGAGTTTGGTAGCAAAGAAGAGAAATGAAACTCAGAAACCAAAGTTGCTCAAGCTCAAGAAGTCAAGTCCTTTCCCACCACCCCCAGTGATTATCTGGATCCAGCAAGGTACTTAAGTCATTAATAGAGAAAGTGATTCCTGAGCAGGGCTGTCACCAAGATTTCAAGTTGCTGGGTAAATACAACCAGCAGGCAGGGAATCAAATAGCTAAGAATTTCTTTTGGTTCTATTTTTCTTCTACTTTACCATTAAAGGTAGCCAGGGGCCACTTTCGTAGTAGCCGGGGGGAATCCCTGGTCCCTGCTTCTTAACGACAGCCCTGCTGAACCACCAGCAGTTTGGCAGAGGTCTCTAGAAAGTTTGAAGAAGAAGGAGAAAAACATCATGTAGGGAGGAATACATAACATGGAAAAGTGCTTACGAATGTGGTGGGAAGGTGGGGGGGTTAGTTGTGGAAAGGGGCATCACCTCCTTTATTCTGAGGGGTCTGGGGACTTGCCAAAGGAAAAATCACCCTGAGGGGTCTGGGGGAATTCCCGGGGGAAAACTTATTCCGAGAGGTCTCAGGGACTTCCCAAGGGGAAATCATTTTAACCGGTCTGGGGGAACCTCCCAGGGGGAAATAATCATCTATCAAAATTGTGAAAAGTGTGATGATCCTGTACATCCCTATTGAACTGGGTGTGGTAAAATTACAACATCTTGCTGAAGTAAAAGTGATGTTTAAATACATGGAATGAAAAGCAACAACCATTTTCAGTGCAGCATAGTAACACTGTTCCTACATTGTTTTGGATTGTCAGAACATTATTTTAACACCATCATCCTCACAGCTTTTATTTTTTTTATTCTTTTGCAGAACCAGTTGTTGAAGGAAAGCTTCACCCAGCTCGGAAAACGATCACTAACGAGAAAATTGAACTCTTCAATTCAATTGTATCAGAAATGTTGTAAGTAAATTGACTTAGAAACTAAGTGAGACCTACCCATCAGGCGGTCTGAAATGTCATCCATCTGTCGCCCCACCCCTCATGGGCAGAAAGACAAGAGAGACGCCAGTCCCTGGGTTTAAAAATTTCATCTTCATCTACTGGTCAAGCTATAATTCCCACAGATAAACATCACTTTGATATATTCCACCAAGCGTATCACTCACATCGAGGGGATCCAGGGGGCCAAACTTGCCCCAGTAGCTTGTCAAATGTCCGCTTTCGAATACATCCAAAACAAAACTAAACAATTTTAAGCGAAATGAACCAATTACAGTAACATCACGGTTTAACTGATGGACGACCCATAACAACAACCTAACTGACCAATCAGATCAATAACCAGAGTTTTAATACCATCAACTGACGTGCTACAACTCAACTCTGTTCACCCGGTCGATCAAACTCAACCTACTTATAATGTACTTACAGTTGTCTCTTTGCTTCAGTCCAAAGGAAAATTCATCCATAACAGTCATGTGGACTTCATTTTATGCAGCTTCTAAAAGACCTGAGGCCACTTCAGATGGACTTCACTATGGAGAGTCAATCACGACCTTGGTAAAAACAAGTGTTTAATTCATGATTTAATAGCCTGACCCTGAGAATACAGCCGTTTCTCCCCTTTCTTCGCCGCTAGGAACGTTTCGCAGGAGAGACACTCCTGCAAAACGTCGCTGGAGGAGAGGAGCGAAAAGAGACGACTGTATTCCAAAGCTAATAGAGAGTTTAAGCGTCACGTATACCGCAAACGGGAAACGTCAGATTCAAGTTGAGAATACCGTAAAATTCCGAAAATAAGCCCCCCAAACCGGTAACGCAAAAAACACTCCGTTAAAACGCCCCTCCAAATATAAGCCCCTCGGGGGCTTGTACTTGGAAAATTGCCGTCAAACACAAAGTAAAACAAAGCAAAAAGGGTAAATTTACTTCCAACTATAAGAATAACCCAATCGGTTTTGAAACGCAAATTTCTCTCCGTAGATAAAACCCTTCGAATATAAGCCCCTCCAAAAATAAGCCCCTCAAAAAGGGCCTTTGAAAAAATATAAGCCCCGGGGCTTACTTTAGAAAATGAGCAGATAAAGACAGCTCAGAAAATTCTTATGGATAAAACGTTGCGTGAAACTACTAATTTATGTGTAGAAATAATGAACAGTAGGCGACAAGCAAAGGGGAAACGTGGTCACGTGGTACAAATTTGCGTTTGACGTTTGACGTAAACGTGATGCCATCCTCGGAGACCCAGGGGCAGTCAGTCGGGTCGGGAGAAAAGGCGGGACGAAAGTTTTCAAGTACGGGCGAAAGAGCCCCTGGGTACCGACTCTCACCGAACTATTTCCAAAAATTCAAGCAGGTGCTGCCTCCTGATTGGGCACAAAAAATGCTTTGTATTATTGTGCCCAATCGTCGAACAGTTTCTCCTGAGTTCTTTTCGTGAGTTCGTACACGACGGCTCGCCACACTTGCCCGGTTCGTTCACCAAGCTTGCGCGTGCAAGGAAAAGTTTTATTTTCTACTTTCCTAACAAGAAACGTTGGGATGCTATCAGCAGGAGCAATTCAATTTGCCCCGAGAATATTCTGTTTTTGACGGATCACAATGTATCGTAAACAATAGGAAGTTTAAGATAAGGCGGCGACGAGAAAGTCAAATTAGCAATAGTTTCGCAAGACAAAACAACAACTTTGCACGTGCATCGCGCTTTTTTGTACATTTCTTTGCCGTCAACTGCACGACTACCCGTGAAAATGCCTAATTTCACGTTTTGTGAAGGACGTAAACAAGCAATGACAAAATTCATTCTCTTCAGGAACTTCGGGATATGGTTAATAGAAATTCAGCTCCAGAAGAGTTCGCTTGCATTTGACAAAGTAAGCGAGTTGGAATAATCATGATAGAGACTGAAAAAATGTGAATTCACTTTTCCATGCGACGTTTTCGTGGCTGTCAGCCGTCGTGGTATCTTTTAAAAACTCCCTAGTATTTACGCAATACGCTTGACCGATGCAAGCGTGAACACCTGTTATAAGCTCAAGCTTGTATTTTTGGAAAAGCGTCTTTAGTTTTCGGGCAGACAATATTTTGAAATCAGATAGCGATTTTATATCAAACTGAAAGTTTGCTGACTGCGAGCATTTCTTTGGTGCATGAGCCAGACAAGCCGTGATCGAGACAATAGCCGTCGTGTACGAACTCACGAAAAGAACTCAGGAGAAACTGTTCGCCTATTGGGCACAATAATACAAAGCATTTTTTGTGCCCAACCAGGAGCCGGCATCTGCTTGAATTTTTGGAAATAGTTCAGTGAGAGTCGGTACCCAGGGGCTCTTTCGCCCGTACTTGAAAACTTTCGTCCCGCCTTTTCTTCCGACCCGACTGACTGCCCCTGGGTCTCCGAGGATGACGTGATGCTTAACCTCTCTAATGAATTAACCCTTTAAACTCATCGCCAATTGATGAGCTTGGGAACTGGTGCCTAAAAGGTTAGCGGGGGAGGCCAACTGCGAAAAATACGGCAAGGAGGTAACCAAGGCAACCCTGGAAGCGGGAACCACCCCTGTCAGCAGCCGCTAACTGGCACCGTCACACTGAGAGAATACTCAGTGGAAAAAATACTCACCCCAGTGAAATACTTACCCGCGCACCCACACATGACAGCAGGGAGGGAGGAGAGGGGGCAAGGGGGCTTAAATTTGAGAAACAATCCAAATTATCCTCAGCTGATGGACAAATGATGCCAAATGAAAGCACTGATGGAGAGGTTTCATTTGAATGCCCACAATTTGGCTGATCATAAATGCTGTTTCCATTTCAGGAACTGGACTTGATATTCAATTATTATTGTAATCAGTACCTTCAAGTTTCTGATGCTACTTGTTGTATGCCTTCACCAAGACTGACACATCTTCAGCGCAATACATTTGCTGTGTTTATAACGTGGTAAGACAATCATTCCCTTTTAGTCTATGCTCTCCAATCTTTAAACGAACTTTGAGTCCTTTAGAATTCAACTCCAAAAACACTTGCCAACATTTGACGAAGTAAACGTGCGAATTCACGTTTTAAGTGACATTTTTTGTGGCCGTCTCCGTCGTTGTTGCTTAAGCTCCCTATTAGGGACCTTACGAAACTACGGCGGCGACGGTAACGGCAGCTTTTGAGGACGGGAACGGCAAGGTGATAAATTCTATCATCTCTGTCTGAACTCGGGTGCGGCCCCGTCTCTTCAGCTCTAACATAAATCCCCTTCTTTTAAGTAACTGGGCGACTTGGGATAATCGCGAAATGGCTTGAAAGGATGCGGAGTCTACTTTTCAGCGAGGTTTTCATGGAGGTCGCCGTTGTCGGATCGTAAGGTCGATAATAGCTGTCAGGCGCGTCCCCATAAACAATCCCAGAAACACTTGCGGGATACATTTCGGCACCAGTCCCCTTATCTTTTCTAAACTAGCGAATAGACCTTTTTACCGATACGGCGGCGATATTAAATTGACTCGATTTGAGTAGTATTATAGGATGCCCAGGAGGCAGAGCACATTTCGTTTGTATTTTCAAGTGCTGTTCGGGACACTTTTTCTTAAAGTTTTCTTGGAATAAGATTGTAATGGGAAAAAAGATCTTTGTGCCTTGTTTGGATGTAATAATGATCGCCTTTTTCTAGTTTGTTATTAGAATTATTGTCTTTCACTGTATATTTCTCGGGAAAAAGGCGATCATTATTACATCAAAACACTGCACAAGGACCTTTTCTCCCATTACAATCTTATCTAAGAAAACTTTAAGAAAAAATGTCCCGAAAAGCGCTCGAAAATACAAACGAAATGTGCTTATGCCCCCTGGGCATCCTATAATACTCCTTAAATCGAATTAATTCAATATGGCCTCCGTATCGGTAAAAAGGTCTATTGTAGTTTATTCTTGAATACAGATTGCTGACGATGTTCTTTGTTTCACCGAAATGAGTAATGGTTTTTTGTCCAATTTTTTTGTCCTACAGTATTGTGCTTTTCGTGATCATGTTTGTATGTCAGCATCTGTGGCCAGCAGAACCCAAAGGAGCTGCTGGTGAGAGCTCAATTTAGACTGTTAGTTAAAACCAATAAAGCAGAAACATGCTAGAATATTGGAATAGCATTGATATGTTACATGTGTAAAGGGCCCTTGAAAGGTTCTTACATTTTTCTCAACGATTGTAGAGCGGGTGAAATAGGCGAGGGCGCGTAAGGGTTGATTTCCACTGACGCGTATTTTTTCCGTGCGAACGCACGTAACATTTGCATGCGTAAATGAAATAGAGGCAATGTATGAAAGGCCACGCGTAAACGTAAAAGTTGAGCGAGGTTCAACTTTTACGTTACGCGTTGACCGTTCATACATTGCCTCCAAACCCGCCCTGACTGCCTCTATTTTATTTACGCGCGTTCATACGGAAAAATTACGCGACAGTGGTAATCCACCTTAACACTCGCTATGTCAATACTCGCGTATGGTGATTTTCACTTGCTCGCGTAGTTAGCTCTACTATCCCTAACTGACTCATTCCCTGACGTGCTTCCGATGCGCCCGTTATGAAGACGAGTGAAGAAAAGTCAGTATACCGACGAAGGGAATTGAGGGAGCACACGTGGTCGAACCCTGACTTAGTTTAGCCCGGGAGCAAGCTATCCACCTGCGAGAGAAGGGCCAAGCGAGCGGCAACGCCCCGCCCTCCCCTCCCTCGCTCACCCGTCTCCTTTCACGTTTCGCTCTGGCGTGACTTTTCACGAAAAAGTAAAACTACTCGCAACCTTCATCAACCCGATTTGTTTCAATGGAGGTTTGATTCGTGGGTAGTAAAGCGCTTAACATCACTTTTCAACTCGTTTTGTAGCAATGTTTTAAAACAAGATGCACATTTTTTTCTTTCCCGTTTTCCGGCAGCGTTACCCGTTGTTATCTTTGCACATTTCAATAGCCCTTACTGTTGCTTTTGTAACGTATTTAATTATATTATTAAAAAAGTGCAATCTGGAATTTGTTTATCCACGAAGCACTCAGGAGTTCTTAAGAACTCGTTTAATTGTGTCCGTGCGTTCCTGATCAAATTGGAATTTGGAAATGTTGGTTTTTGGGGAATACCCGGAGAAAACCTCTGGGTACCAGAGGTTTTTTTCTCGCCTGCGTCGGGAAGCTTCGTTTCGTCGGCCGCAGGCCGAAGACACCAGCAGCGAAGCCGCATCGACCCGAGCCAGATTGATAAGAGGGGATAGCTCTCACCACTACGCAATTCTTGTTTCCCTTAGAGCAAGAGATAATTAAGGATAATTTGTTACTGTTATCACTAATAATCGTAATAATTACTCTTTAGGTGTGGAGCCAACCACCCCTGGCGGACGTCCCAGTTTTTCATTGCGTTGGGTGTACTCTGACAGAATGTATCCTGTTATGAAGAGTCTGTTTAAGTTGGGGCTTATTATGTTTTATTTCTTCCTTTGTGACAGGTTGGTTTGATTAAACTATAGTTCATCTTATTATGATGTTTATACTACTACATGAGAAATTTCTGCAATTTGATTGGCTTAGAGCAGTGGTATTTCAGCTTAATTTGAAATACCTACATGTGAAAATTACAAACGTTTTGCGGGTAGTAGTATAAACAAATAATAGCATGATTTGTACGTGATATTTCGCATAAATACCACTCGTGATATTTCAAAATTGTCTCAAATTTTACTCGCCTAACGGCTCGTGAAATTACGTATAACAATTTCGAAACATCACTCGCGGTATTTATGCCAAATATTACTACAAATCATGCTATTACCTATACTAACAATGCTTTAATTTTGCTGGTTGACACTTCGAAGCCATTTTTGTCTCACTTCCCAGTGCAACTCAAGTCGCGTTAGATATGCACCAAGTCGAGCTCTCTCTATGAGTGGATTTCTACTGTCACGTGATTTTTCTTGCGTACGTACGTAAACTTTGCGTGCGCAAATAGAATAGAGGCATTAGGGAGCTTAAGCGACAACGTTTTTGAGCGATGCACGTCAACCGGAAGTGGCCTTTTTTCATTTTTTGACGGTGGTTTCGCGCAAATTTTCAGTCAAATCGCCTCTATAACAGTAAAGAAGCTAAGGAATACAAATTTTATATCATCAAGGCATGTTAAGAGGGAAAATACCTCACTTCCGGTTGACGTGCGTCGCTCAAAAACGTTGCTGCTTAAGCTCCCTAATGTGTGAAAGGTCGCGCGGGAACGTAAAAGTTGCCTTTTCGTGCGAAACTTTATACAATGCCTCTCTATGTTATTTACCCGCGTAAAATTCACGTGCGTACTCTCGTAAAAAATACGCGTCAGTGGAAATCCATACCTTATATGTTATACGGTATAAAAGTGTGTCATTAACCCTAAAGCAAGCGAAGCGAGCATCAATGAGATCGCAAAGTGACCAAACGGGCTTCGTTGTCGAGCTTAAAGCCCCGTGCATACGGACGCAACATTGTTGGCCAACAACTCCCAATATTGTTGGATGTTACATGTTGCGTCCGTTTGCGCACCTTGTTGCATGTTGTTGGGAGTTGATGCATCCGCTTGCACACCACTGCCAACACGGACGCAACAACTCCCAACATTTTTGGCCCAACAATGTAGGGACTTGGTGCGTCAGCGTGCAAAACAAAGCCGCACGACTACTCAGTCTTCCTCTGCTTTCAAAATCCAAGATGGCGACTACACGCGGGAAAATTCGTAGGAACAACTATATTGCTGTTAGCAGTCGTTCGCTTCCTGCATCACATTCTATCATTGTAATTGATAATGCAGCTGAAAACATGTATGCCTGTTCTTTTTTTTTTCAGAACAAACTTGTTTTTCAAAGAGCAAAAAGAGTACAGTCATGTTGCATTTGTTTCGGTTTTAATTGTTTTCCTGCTGCTTGGGGCCTGGACTTGGGTTCCTGCCCAACAGGTAAGTCATTTTGCACTCCGCTTAAGACGAATCTTTACTGACGTGATTGGTTTGTTTGACATGTCACGCAAATAAATCTGATAAATTTTAGCTATCTGGTAAGTGAAACATTTAGCTGAACCGTTCGTTGACTGCCTTTTGTTCCCTCAGATGGTAGTTTTAAACAGAGATCAAACAAATGAGTGGAAAGGTTGGATGCAGTTGGTTATTCTGTTGTATCACTACACTGGAGCAAGTAAGGTAATAAAAGATGTTTGAATCAAAGCACTCGTTTACACAGCCATGACTTGACACAGCTCATTACAGTTTATTATGCTTATGTGACCATCCATAGAAAGTCGCCATACGTTTTCCAGTCAGTATTCTGTAGTTCTGCAAAACCTCTCGTAAACGACTTGCTCTCGAAATCGTTGCCTTCTAAGACAAAATTATTTTCACTGAAATGTTTCGTGGAAAAAGCAGAAAAAACAGACCAGAGCAAGAGTAGTAGAAATCTACAAAAGAATGAAAACGCGAACACCTACGGAAAGCACTTTCTTTTTCCTACTTTGATTTGTCGTTTGCTGTGACTCTTGCCAAAGTTTTCTTTCCCATTTAGTGAAAAACCGCCCAATACTCGTTTGTTTTTTAGTTCAGTTGTGCTGCGCGGAAAATAAGCGCCACACCATTAAAAGGGAGACACTGTCACTGTGATCTGTTTGTCTAAGGGAAGATGATGCACGGAGTTTCGATCGCAAGATGTCCGCAACCTTCCTAAAAATGTATGACATAGTTCTACTGTTATCTATTGCCAGGTTCTTCCAATTTACGTTTTCATAAGGCTCTTAGTGGCATCCTACCTATTCCTAACCGGTTATGGACATTTCTCATACTTTTGGAACAAAGGAGACTTTGGGCTCTACAGATTTTGCCAGGTAATCACTAGTTAGGCAGATCTCTCTTAAAAAAAAAAATAAAAATGATGATATAGATAAACCTTTTCCCTAGGGCTTTATCTTATTGAAATGCCCTGGGAACAGGTTGTGTCAGAGGTAACACATAGGCCTGTTTCGATTGTGCTCGTAAAATGCTGGAAAGTTGCTAAAAATTGCCGAAAATCCAAAAAGGTGCTTGTTAAATTTAAAAAGCTGTTTCCGAAATTTCTGGATCTTTTTATATAAACAGTAATAACGAAGGTGAAATTATAGAGATTCTACTGTTTGGGATTTTAAAATGTGGCCGTTGGCCCTATTAACGGGTGACCGCATTAACAGGGGTTTTTCATAAGAAAAATGTATGGCCGTTTTAAGTGTCCGTAAAATAGTGGCCGTAATAACGAGGTGATCGTACTACCGAGGTGGCCGTAAGGCGGGGTTCCACTGTAATACTGAATACAGGCTCTTTTTTTTTACTAAACAAAAACTGGTGCAATCGCCGTCCACCTAGCCTACCTGCGTAGCAGGCGCGGGATTTTAGGGGGGTGAACGGAGAAATTTCGAAAAAGCGCGCGCTTTATAAAAACTAATCAAAACTAACCGGCGCCTGCCACGCAGGCTTCCGTCCACTTAGCACCAGCTTCTGTCTCCTACGAGTCTCCCACGCAACCACGATTTTTGCCGTCTTGTGAAACGTCTCTCCTCGTCAAGAGGAGAAGCGTTTCATGACGAGATAAAAACAGCTGTGCGGGGGGATAACCTCTTACAGAAAACAATTTTGTAAATGCGGTGATAAATCCCAACAACGTATTTGCTTCTTAACAGTTTTGTTCTATAAAAACAAACTTGATATAGAATGAAGCACATGTGGTAATTAAAGGTGTCATCTCCGTCATGGCTAAACTTTGTTCCGTGGTCGCTCCAAAGGCACTAAAATGCATTTTATCAGACCCCACCCATCTACCCCAGCATTCTGTTCCTTTCGATCTTTCATATTGCCACCTACTTCAATTTTTTTCTTTATTTTTTAATTTTTTTTGGAGAACCCTGTAGAATACCGTAAAATTCCGAAAATAAGCCCCTCCATTTATAAGTCCCTCCAAATATAAGCCCTCCGGGGGCTTGTACTTGGAAATTGCCGCCAAATACAAAGTAAAACAAAGCAAAAACGGTAAATTTCCTTCCAACTATAGGGCTAGCCCAATCGATTTTGAAACGCAAATTTCCCTCAATAGATAAGCCTCTCCGAATATAAGCCCCTCCGGTATTAGAGATAAATATTTAGGAACTTAAATTCTGGATTTCAAAGCGCCTGGTCTATACATGATATGATCGCTACGACCGCTAAAAGTCTGACAATCGCGTGATGATATGGAAACCAGTTTTATGATAAAGATATAATTGTTTTTATATAATCGCAAGACCTTTTCATTAGCGGTCCATGCTATCGCTGCAGTTACCTGAATCAAAGCCACACTAAAATCAAAGAATCTAGGCACAATAAAAGACTCTACGTAGGAAGGAATGCAAAATCCTTGGGAAATAATCTGACTCTATTTTCTTTCAGGTCATGACGAGAATGAATATCCTAGTAGCTGTTTTGTGCCTGGTAATGGGCCGTCCATATCAGTTCTACTATTTTGTTCCACTGGTGTCGTTTTGGTTCGTGGTGATTTATCTTTTCGTAGCCGCGTGGCCAAGAGTAACAGCTGCTTTTGTTAAAGGTGAGAAAATCTGTTTTTTCCATCAGGTATTGGGAACGAAGAAAATTGGTTTAATGCTCATACTTTTTTCTCCACTGAACTAACATTTTCTTTGTGTGCTAATTAACGATTATTCCTCAAGCCCGAATGGGGGGCGATTGACTAGTAGTCAGAGGCCATGAGGGCGCGAGGAATAATTGTTTTACTAAAATCCAACTAGTTGGTAAAAAATATCGAGACAACAGTTAAAGCTAGACTTTAATCCTTTTTTTCGGCCAAAAAGCCGGCACTTTTCGCTACTACTCTAGTGGGCTATAACATTTAGCCTAGTAGTAGCTCAACCAATCAGAACTTAGCATTAACAATAGACCACTAGTTGGATTTTACTAATAGGCTCATATCCTGCGTCCCAGTCAGTAACAGGGATCTTAAAGCCTGTTGTTCACATGGAGGTGGTGGACCCTAGGTAGGTGGGGTAACCTGCCTGTCCATATAATCTCTTTTATGGTCACCCCACCTATCATGTAAACGTGATTAAATTAAAATGAGAGATTATATTATATGGACAGGCGGGTAACGCCACTCACCAAGGGTCCCCCACCCCCACCTCTTTACAAACAGTCCTTTAAGCGTCAACGACGGGGACGGCAGCGAAAACGTCTCACGAAAAATGAACACGCCCTGTTTCAAATTCCTTCCTTCTTATTCCATCTCGTTCAATTGTCAAATGTTGGCGAACTTTTCTGGAGTTGAATTCGAACAGACTGTACCTAAGTTAAAAAAATAATAATAATAAAAATAAAATCGTTTTCTGGTGTTCACGTCCTTCTTAAAACGTGAAATAAGGCAGTTTCACTTGGCGGTCGTGCAGCAACGGCAAAGAAATGTACAAAAAAACGTGCTGCCAGTGCGGAGTTGTTGCCAATCTAAGGGCCAGGCCAAACGTGGAACTTTTCATGAGACGAACCAAACTTGGTGAGTTAAGTTCAAGAAAAGTTCGACGTCTGACTCAGTTACGTTCGTCTGAATGAGTTTGGGTCGTCCAACACGTTCTATCCGTCTGCTTCAGAACAGAGATTAGGGCTCTGGCTTACAGGCAGACTAAAGCTGAGATTTAGTTTCGTTTGTGGTGGAGATTTATTTTCGTCCGTTGCCACGGAGGGCTGCAGCGTTACGGATGATAGAATACCATTAGCCTGCGAGCAAGCTCTCCTATCTGGTCCAGGGAAGTGAGCCTCGCCAGAACGCGCGAGTGAGGGGCTGAGGCCGCTCGCTCGCGCGCTCTCGCGAGACTCGCCTCACTCACCCAAACAGGAGAGCTTGCTCGCAGGATAGAATACCATAGAATACTTCATACACTTTTTAAAATGTATTGTTTTATGTTGTTTTGACTCTTGCAGATAACTACAAACATTATCTGACAATGTTGATTAAGTTCTTTTTACTCTTTTGTGGAATTAGAATCATTTGGAGTTTGCCGGTAAGTGAGTTGTCATTGAACTGCCAGCCAACTCGTCCCGCTCAGATTCCTTCCCAGATATTTGCCACTTTAAAACGAAAGGGGAACTGGAACCGAAATGTGTCCCCCAGTTGCTTCTGGGATCGTTACCGGGGACGCGCCAGTCAGCTATTGGCCATTTTTTCCTGTCCCTGGTAACAGTCCCAGAGGTCTTTGCAAACTTTTAGGAGAATGACTACGAGTACGAGATTCTCTCAATACTAAGTAGTGCACGCCCGTGAGCCAGCGTCCCTTTGGCGGGAAAACGTGGTAGCCGTCGTCATTCTTCAAGGAGTTTTAGCGCGATTGTCGTAGTGGCGGAAACAATTTATCTAATGTTAGAAGTTTTATCATTTTACGATCGAGAGAGGGTGTAACCTCCCTCACTTAAGGTAACAGTGCTAACTTTGCTAGTGAAAAATGGTAAAATGAAGCTTTCCGGGGAGTCCATATTTTGAAAAGACGTGAAAAAACCTTAAGTCAAATCTCGTACTCGTAGTTGTCCTCGTCTTCGAATCTAATGGTCTCTATTAACGGTATATATGTCTTGCACCCCAAAAAAGGTAGCATTGCCGAAACGTCGGTTACTCTTTTGAAAACCGTCGATTTTGCAATTTTCAAATTAACATTAAGGAAGTAAGGTACCTTTGCACGCAGGCTAATTAAGGCCGGTACAACAGGATGTTTTTCATTAACGCGATAATGTCAAACAAGTCAGGGAAGTTAGCCCTCCAACACGCTTGTTAGGGAGCAGCGATCGGGCGATATGGGAGCGCGAGCGTGCGTTGAAGTCACAGGGAGAATCGGGCAGAATTCCTCTCCAAGCTTCATTCCTTCGCCTCTAACCCGCGCTCCCCGGCGTCTCCAATAAAACTGCCAGCTACACAGGCTGTGCAAAAAGCACCTCTGAAAACGCGGGTTTTGGTCAATAACTTGTATGCTTTCTTCTTCAGACGTTGGGTCAATGGATATTTTCTCAGTGGGCAATTAAAGAATTATTTATTGATGAAAATGACAGTGTTCGTGAATGGTGGTTCCGGTCGTGGCTGGACAGATATGTGAGTGTGTTTCTTTCTTTAGTTGTGCTACATTCCGCAGGTTACTAAATAATTCCCTCTGGTGCTTACGACTACGACTGAGGAGTAGTGCTAATATCCCTACAACAAAGTAGTAGAAAATTACTCTATAGTGGTAACACAATTACTGGTACCCCAAAAGTTTGCTTTGTGGCCAATTACCGTGCGACCACTCGAACCGGAGCACTTGGAAGAAGATTATCCAATCACAACATTTTTTGAAAACAAAAGATTCTCAAGATGTTTTTTGCAAATGGACCAATAAAATTCAAGGTTCAACTATGCAATCGTTAAAAATTTTAAAACCGTTTGAACTTACCTGACCTCTCAGGAAACAGCCCTCAAATTCATGTATTCTTAGTTGCTAAAAATATATATATCTACGTGTCGCAACTGTTCATCAGTAGGATGCCTAAAATGCGTGCAATTCCACAATTGGTTTCGGCTCCATTAAATCCTATACCAATTGCAGAACATTTTAGGAGGAGCCACCCACCATGTGAGCACAGTCACGGACAATGTATAAGTGAGGAAAATAACGCAAAGTAAAATTAAGACGTTAATAAACGAACTAAATGTACACGTCAATTAAATAAATAAACAAATAATGCGCGCGCTCAAAATAAAATTGTACGCGCACAAGTACCGAGATCTGAAATACAACAATATGTAATAAATAAGTAATGTAAGGATACGATGGTGCAATTCAAGCCTGGATTGCTAATCTCATCTCCCGCAGGGCTGCACCATACTTCTCGACGATAAGACCATGGCGACTGAAGAATTTATTAAATGATTACTGATGTATGTTATCGGTTCGTTTGCAAAAAAACTTGAGAATCTTGTGTTTTCCAAAACCGTTGTGATTGGATAATGTTCTTCCAAGTGCCCCGGTTCGACAAGTCGCACTATAATAAGGAGAAAAACAAATAATTTAAATAAATAAACTCCTAAAAATTACTGTTGATACTCGTCTCCCAACCCCTGATAAATTATACCACAACGAAGGCAATAAGTAGAGATAACCACGTGACCTTTCTTGGGAATTTTAACTCGTACGCAATAAAATGGAACCTCGAATTTAGAATTCGTTGGACTCCAAATTCCTAACTTTCTATTTTGATCGTAGCCTAATAGTGTCTTCACCGAATTGGCTGTTGCTGTTTGCCATATTGAATTTAATATTACCTAGACATATGATCAAATTCATGTTTCAAATTTGTCCATCCTTGCACGCCAGTACTCTGTCTTACAGTGAAAATACACCCAGTACCTATCCCTTCAAACTGAAATGAAAATGTAAACCTAAACGACGTTTTCACTCAAGCGCCGACTGGAGTTTCCTACCTAGCTACCTGGGCTAAATCTTTGCTTGCATTTCTCTTTCAGATTGCTCTTTATGGAATGGTTGTAGCTCTAGTGTACTGCACTGCTAAATATTTTAAGTTTTTTGAGGATAATAACAAGAGAATTTTGTTCTCTGGTCCTGCTGCCGTCGTCTCTCTTTTCTTTGCCGTTGTAGCTCTTCTGGTGAGTTGTCGCTGTTTGAAATATGTCATAATACTCGACTTAGCCTTGCCTTGATATAACTAGAAGTAATCGCAGATTAGAAGTGCGTCCAATGGCCCGATAGGAAGGGGGACGGGAAAGGGATTTCACTTTGTTATCGTTCCCATGATTAAGCGGGGCACGAAAGAGATACCAGTTCCTGGCCGCGCGAGGTGATAACTCCAGGTCACTGTAGACCATTTGCACGATGTCGCCATTTTCTACTATTGTCAGAATTCCTCAGGATTTGCTTTTTTGTTTTGCAAATTAGGGCTGGCTTTCCTTTTTTATGAACAATTTATACTTCGAAAGTGCACGCATACAGACTTGAGGTTTCACACTCCAGAATATGTCTATGAATGACTGATCTGTGAAAGCTCCTTGACATAGGCCCAGTATGGGAGTTCTTCGCGGCGGATAATGGGCTCCTGGCTAAATGATTGACTGAAAATAATCTCGCCAGTTATATTAACCTGTAAAAAGTAAACCCAAAAAGTAATGGTTACTTGTTCGAACGTGTGTTCGACGCACGTGACCCAAGCTTTTTGGACCGATTTGTAATAAATGCTCTAGGAATTTAAAGGGGTAAACCCAGTGTTTGGACCATCAGTGAGACAACTTAGCTTATATTAATAGTGAGCTTACACTAGTCTGAAATGTAATACGTCTCCACCCACTAACCTGTCGGGGGCGCGAGCGAGATAGAGACAGACGTATGACATTTCAGACTAAGTTTACGCAACAGGACGATAGGATGAAGAGGACAGCAAAACTCTTGTGTCTGACAGACGTGACAGGGCTATTACTTGCGTGTTTTATCGTAATCTTCACTTCACACCAACGTTTTCTGGTCCTTTGCAAAAAGATCTGTTTCAAGGAAAGTGAAGTTTGGCGAAACGTTGTTTCAAACAAAATTATTGTCACGCTTGTCGCACAAAGTTTGCCGCGTTCTTTCCTCTCCCGTCCTGTTGCGCAAGTTCACTAATGCTAGACGAAGTCAGGAGCCCATAAGGACTTGTGACGTAGTATAACCACTGCGTTGCTGAAACACCATTAGGTACTTTCAAGAGATCATACTGAATAGGACTATTATGGCTCTTGGTACTTTAAGATTCAACGACACGACGCCACGAGAATGTCAAAAAACCAATAGGTTTAATTAACCCAAACAACAATTTGCACGTGTAGTACACTTTTTTGTACATTTCTTTGCCGTTTTTGCACGACTACGACGCGAAAATGCCCAATTTTGCGTTTTATGGAGAACGTAAACAAGAAAGGACGAAATCTTATTTCTCTTTGTGAACTTGGATATGGTCTCTAGGAACTCAGCTTCAGCTGGGTTCGCCTACATTTGACAAAGTAAGTGGGGAGGAATAACCGCGAGTAAACGAGCGCAAATTGACTTTTTAACCGACGTTTTTGTTGCCGTCGCGTCGTTGGATCTTAAAGTCCCTATTATTTTCATTCCGTGAACTGACCATTGTTTTACCCCCTTTGTTTCAGATTTATACTCTTCAAGCAATTACGTGTAGTTCAAAACCCTCTTGTAACGAAACGCATTCCTTTTTGTCATTTATACCTGTAAGTATAAAGTTGCTGTTTCCTACTCTCCTTTATAACCTTAACTCATCTTGTGTTTGTCCTTTCCGAACGACCCAATAATAAACCTCCATATCGGTACGAATGTGACTGACCTAACCTGCGAGTGGGTGTCAGTAAAACGCAGCGTCGGGGCGGGCAAATAGGGTGTTCATAGAGCGATTTTCGCATGACCTTGAAAAATGGTTTCGGTAAGTTTTCGTTATTTGTTTTATCAGCCAATGGTTGAAAAGATCAAAACATGGACTCTTCGTTTTCCCACCAAAGAAAACCCTGATATAGAGAAGGCATTGTTCAATTGGCTAATCGTGTTGTAGTATGACGTCAAAGCGAAGTATCGGTTGATTTCTAGAAAGTTCTCGGGCAATGCTACCGGTGGTATATCATTTCCCCTGCAGAAAATGTTGAGGCTGTCGGAAAACAGAACATATTTTATCTGGGACCAGTTATTCCGCGTGTTATACTCACTATCTTGAGTCAGTATTGATTAGTCATCTTTTTCAGTTTCTGCCATATTAAAACTGTTTTGCTAGTATGTATATTTTTTAAAATTACAGATAACAGCTTTCGTGCTTCTCAGAAATATACCTGGTTCCCTCCGGTCTAAATTTAGTCGGTTCTACGCTTGGGTTGGTTCTTTTTCTTTAGAGGTTAGTAATGTATAACTGAGTTTGTTTTTATTATCGTAAACTGTTTAAGACCCTGTGATACTGCGGAGAATATAAAAGACGAACGAGTTCGTGGAATTCCTTGAATGATATAAATTATGTGGCATGGGTTAGGTTGACATAATTATTGAAGAAATAAATTAACCTTGCCGCATAATTTATCCCATTCAGTATTCCATACCACGCGTCCTACTGCAAGGTCGAGCTCTTTCCTCGGTCTACCCTTAATAACATGGTTTCATGCACCATTCTCTTAACATACGTCGTTTAACGCTTCAGCTCTATAGGTCACCGCTAAATTAAAGGTGACTTACTTGTAAGCCGAGGTTTGATTCTGCCGAGTCATCATTAGCACAAGAAGTTACTCCTTTACTAAGTGTATAGAATGGTACCTTCAGAAACGTGAGTGCCGGAAAATTTTAGCGCGATCTCGATTTCTCGGAAGCGTTGTTGCTGCCGGGTGTTGAAGTCTCGTTTTCGGGCAATTTTTGCATCTCGGAGTCTCGAATAACTTTTTGCGACCGGTCTCGGAGTCTCAGCTTTGTCATTTCACCGCTCTCTTAACATGCGTTGTTTAACGCTTTAACTTTAAAGCTCGCATGCTATTGAAAAATGTAGTAAATTGTTCACTAGAATAAGCGGGTGTCAGTGACTATCGTGAGACAAACATCAAACAAACCTATCATAGTCAAAGCACGATAAGTAACAGATTTCATTAAGGAGCAAAGCCCTTTTAACCATTTCGAGCATCTCGCCTAAAAATAGCTCAATGGCCCGTATGCAGGATTACGTTAGACGAGTAAATTTCACCAACAAGCCTCCTTTGTGAACTAAATTCTTTGTAGTTACACTTTGCAATTTATAATTTCAAAAGGTAAACAGGCATAAGGGCTATTGATAGAGCACCGGTAGATCTACTCCAGTGGTCGCGAGTTCAAACCTAGCCGGGGTCGACAACGTTTTCTTTGATTCCGGGCTATCTCAACTTCCTTTCTAGAGCTTGTATTCAGACGGAATCATAGAGTTTCTTAGCACTCAAGAAATCGCCAATTTTTAATTCTTTTTGCCTCATATAAATGCTACGCGGCTTACACACTAAATATATTTGTTGTATAGCTGAAAATTTCTTCCCAACAGCGCGCGCTCTCATTGGTTACTTCGACGTCACATGACATCTAGCAATGAAACTGTTTCCCACCAAATCTCTGAGCCGTAACAGCGAGGTTTAATCAATTTCCTGCTTTAAAATTCCAGCTATATAACAAATCACTTAAAGACTGGTCCCTCGGAAAACAGTTAATTTTGTTTCCTTCGAATCTCAATGTTTCCCTCGCGGCCAGTCATTAAGTGTTGATTGTTTTTGCTTGTTTGCAGTTGTTTATATCGCAGTACCATATCTGGCTTGCCCACGATACCAAGGGAATTTTGGTCCTAATTCCTAGCCAGCCATTTCTCAATGTCGTCTTGTCCACGTTTGTGTTCGTATGCGTCAGTCACGAGATTCACAAGGTGTCCGGGGTACTGGCCAACGCCCTAATAACCAAAGACATTAAAACTATGATGAGAAGGGTGCTGTTTTTTATCTTCATGTTGATAATCATATGGTGGCATAAGACTCATCATGATCCCAAACCCAAATTAGCAGGATAAAGGTAACAGGGGCTAATATTGTGGAGGGGCCCGTGGCCCCGGTGCCCCCTAAACTTAAACCCGTACGCCGAGAAAATGATTTTGGAGGTCGGGCTTTCCTTCTCTCAAGCGGGGCCTGGAGCGGGCCGCTTAGCTACTAGCCTCCCACGCAGGCGTTTTTAGGGGAGCTCGTATTTCTTCCCTCCCCACAAACGCCTGCTCAACAGAGGACAACATTCCTTTCCCACGCTTAGCCAATCACGTTGTACTTTCCAAATTCTGGAAAGTTGACCTTGACCGCAGGGTAACCCGATAATCACGCGATCTGCATGAAACTTTAAGAAACCTTCATGACCTCTAATAAATGTTAGTCTCAGAGCGGCCAAAGTAAGATTTTAGAATTCTCTGTGCACTGCATAACCTTAGCGAACGAAAGAAAAGAAGGAAAAAGGTAACTCTAGGGTCACGTTCTGGGTCACGTTTTTTCACTATCAAGAGCTTATGAGTCATGTTTAGCCTGTCAACACTTTATTTAAAAACCGTTGATTGGTCACTTACCACGCGAATGCAACAATGGGAAAGGAATGTTGTCCTCTGTTGAGCAGGCGTTTGTGGGGAGGGAAGAAATACGAGCTCCCCTAAAAACGCCTGCGTGGGAGGCTACTTAGCTACTGGACTTCCTAGAAGTACTACATCTGAATCCGTCTCTGAAGAGGATATTTACTCGTGTAAAAAAAGGGACAAAGGACGATGACTAAAGGTATATCAACCACGAACCATATTTTTGGAACTAGGGAGGAGGCCCGGAGTCCTGGAGCCCCCCTGCACTAAATCCCATAGAGCGAAAAAATAGTTTCAAGATCGGGCTTACCTCCTATCTTGCGGGCCCCGAGGCGGGCTCGTTATTTAGTGGACTAAATATGAAGCTGAATCAGCCGCTGAAGAGGATGTTTATACGTTTGAAATAGGAACAAAATAAGGAGACTTAAGGTATTTTAGCGAAGGACCTTTTTTTCCTGCCCCATAGGGACCACACAGCGGACGTGGTGACCTAGGCCTTTTCATTGTAGACCGAGGTTGATGTGGGGTGCTATTTCTTATTGTTGTTGCAAAATGGGAAATGAACACGTTCGCATAATTGGCCAATCAGAACTCACCCAAGGAATGTAGGACTTGTCACGAAAAGCAACGAAAAGTTTCCGATTGTCAATTTAATCAGCAAACGTCCACGAACTTGTCCTGTATCTAGATGCTGAGAAATGGACTTATGCTTCAAACTGATAACTTGTAGATGAAGGGCTATCACAAGAATGAGTAGGCCTGGGGACTAGGGTGGTTATAACTCGTCCCCAGGGTCTCTCTTCCAATCACCTTAATAAGAGACCCTGGGGACAAAGTATTATCCCTTACACTATTTGAATTGGACAGCGAATGTATAAAGTTTATTATAATATAAATACTATACATGTTGGGAGTCTAAATTATTATGTCAGAGATTGTAGATAATAAAAAAAGTTACTATACTCAAAAAATGCGTTTGCATTCATAGAAATCTAGCCAAGCTTTTGCCAGGCTCTAAGATACGGTAGGGAAGTCAGAAAAACAAGGTCAAGGGAAAAATTGGAAGACCGGCGTGATCTGGGAACGGGATGGCGAAGGAAAAAATGCCGGTGTTACAGTGATATAGGCATCCCCGCGTTTGGGGCAAACCTGTTGGGGCAAATTTTTTCCCTTTGTTTTCGCTTTCTAACACTTACTTGTTATCGTGTATTCTTTTTCTTTTCGCTCTCCTGTAATTTTGTTAATTACGCTCCTTTGTTACGTGCTGTATGTAAATTCGGTTATAGTTTGTTATCTCCCCCCCCCCTTTTTTTACCAGAGTTTTACGTATTTATCAGTGTAACTGTGTTCGTGGCAGTAGCCTTTTTTCTCGGTTTCCCTAACGACCAACCCTTGTTATCCTCAGCATTTGGTAAGCGGCTTCGTTTTCATCGTTTTCTTCAATTTCGTTTTGCAGTGGCCTTTAGGTAGTTTTTTCTGTATTGTAACTGTTATTTTTTCGCTCTTTGAAGGAATTTACTTTTTTTTGGTACGTTAATAGTAAAACATTTGCTGAGACAAGGTGATCGTGTTGTGTTTCCTCGAATTGGCCCTTGCATGTTCAATCCCCACTCCTAAAAGCATCCCCTGTGACCCTAACCGTAACATGAGAAGGGGATGCCCACATCACTAGGGATTTGGGTATGGAGATGCCCATATCACTTTAACACCGGGAGCTTCCTTTCTTTCCTCAGTCTCCGTGCGTTTTTTTTGTTTACGATCGTTATACCGTTACTGCCCCGATTATGGTTCCTGATTACTCGTGCTCCCTTATGGCGGGAGCTCCCGCCATAAGGAGAGAGAAAAAGCGAGAGATTAGGTAGAGTTGGGTACTTGATGGCAGTATTTAGTTCAGTTGGTGGGACTGGGACGAGCCTTGCGCCTCGTTGGGCCAGTCATTCGTGTCATCTCGCACGAAATCTCTCGAGCACCTTGTAAAGGACTCGCGGGGGGTGGGGGTACTTAACACATGTTAATACGGAGAGCTGAGAGGTCCAACCCCTTACCCTTTTATATACCATTTGTTCACGAAAAAGGTACCCCTTTCGTAAACCTTCTATTGACAAATGGTATCCCTTTCACATACCTTGTTTAGAACTTTCCATCCCTTTCAACTGCTGTAAATGCACTGTCTTTTAACTAGGAGTCAATCAGAAAAATAGAACGTTTTCTCGACTTTCTAAAGCGACAAAATTCATTTGTTAGCCCATTTGCGCCCTTTTACAGACCCAAATGACAGATTTCCCTACTCTTTTATATACTTAAAAACGAGTGAAATCCCTACCCTTTCATATACGTAAGGCCTGAAAAATATATCCCTTTCGGGCGAAGCCTCACCGTATTGGCCATCATAGGGAATACGCTCCCCCCCCCACCCCCACCGGAGGATTCGAGCTAGTGTTTTCACATTGCGGACCAGTGATCAAGCGACGCTGAGTAATGATGAGACCGGCAGTGGTTTTATATTGGGTAAAGTGCTTTTTGGGAACAGATAAACGTTCGACCACATCCATTTTCTCCAAGGAAGTCGAAATATTGATTTGCGACCCCGTTATCGACCACAAGCTAATTATATATTAAGTTCTTCTCTTGATGGCATCTTTACTACAGTTCTATAACACGCGATTTCACCTCGGATGGAAGGTTTGCGAATAAATAGCCTCTTCCGGTCGTTCGCGCTACTCAGTGTAATGAACGCTTAGAACAGGCTAGCGCATATAAATAGCCAGAGGTACCAATCAGGCACAGTGCACATACAAATTCTCTAGTATGTTCCAATATCAATTTATTAATTCTCGTAATTTTTTAGCTTGATTATCCATTGACTTTGTTAGAAGAAAATTGATGCTGATCACCTTTGGAACTTAAAGGTTCAACTTATCCAGATTTTATCACTTTGATTCGTTCAATATTTCGCGCACTCTGTCAGCTTTCGTAGCTCGACCCACAGGGACATCAGGACTGAAATCCTTCGCAGCTTCAAGCATGCATTTATTCAAGTAGTAGGATATCCAGCTCAAACTGTATTGCCTGCTTGCAAACGTCTCCTGATTTCCTTTGTTGCACGCGGAAAAGGGACGTCTTTTCCGCTTGCATCAAAGGAAATAGAAGACGTCCGTACGTAGGCAAAAACTGTATCTCTTTTGTTGAATGCACGCTAAATAAAGGGGCTCTGTCTTTAGGCGTAAAGCTGTTATCTCACTGCGTTTAGGAAGTTATATAACGTAATACCTTGTGGTTTCACCCATTGACAAAAAATATATTTCCCACCACGAGGGGTTTTAATAATTAGTTTCCGAATTAGCCGTGCGTGTCGGATGATTTACGAGAAGAATCTCAGTTTTTATTTTCAGGCCGAAACTTTAGCGCTGTTACATTCAATTTAGTACTGAATCTCATTGTTAAGTTAAATCATTAAGCCTTAATTGAGAATTCATTTCGTGTACTGTATCCAAATTATGGACATTATGTAACAAGACTCCATAACAGTTTTTCACGGTTCGACGGAAACATGAATTGTGTCGTAACACGTGTTTAAGTGTAGCAGTTATTTATAACTCAAGTAGATCTACTGTATTTCCGTCCACTCAGGCGTGAAAGAAGATGAACTGTGAAGCTAATCTTGGGTTTTTGCCCGTGGCTGTGATTTTTTCAACGATGCAAGAGTTGAACGTTTTTTCAAGTTCCAATCCTGTACTACTGAGTCTTGCAAGTGTGCTTTTTCAAAACTCCCGAAAACAATTCGGTCCCGAAACTGGCTATTCAGTAAGTGCACAAAAATCATTTAGCAGAAATGTGATTTTTAATAAATTTCAAATGGAAAAAAAATTGAAAATTTTACAAGGCTCGAGAAGCATGTTGGCCTACTTTGCATGAACATTAAATGACCCCCGAAGAACGTTTAATCGTTTGGAAAATGCATAAGGAAAAGCACTTTCTGGGCCGCGAAAACACCTCAGCAATTTTGAGAGATGCATCAAAAGTTGACACACGCACCTACATATTGCTTAGTTTACTGGGAATTCAGTAGTCCGTGTTTTTAAACAAAACTTGTATTTCACGTCCCTCAGAGACGCAACTCCAATCTTTGAACACTGACCCCTTCATTTTGTGAGAGGGAAACAAGAGTCATTCGTAAGCAATTTCGCTTTCCGAAGCCGCCGGCATTGCAATTTGTTCGCTAGACACTGAAGGGTGAAACTAACTCAGTGAGGAAGCCTTGAGATTTGCTTAGGAGTGGATCTAAGTCCATAGGTAGTTTTATATAATTCAGGCTGTGGTCTCTGTCCCTTTCATCATTATCATCATCACTTTCAGTTTCTTTTTCAATGTCCTACATCCTCTATGATTAAGAATGAATTTTAATATAAAGCCAAGACTCTGATTCCAAATATTACCCAGTTACCTATAAACGGTTTGATCAATGAACTGATGAACTCTACTAATTATTTTATCAATATACAATTCATAAAATATATTTCAGCCTGTTTTGATGTTCGTGACAAATTATTATCAAAGTAACGTAATCGCCCTGTGTTGTAATTTTGATTCCTAAACATAGCTTTTGCAATACTGTATGTGTTTGTATGGTCATGCAAATAAAGCTCGTCGTTGTTGCCATCTTCATCATCGGGATCATCATCACGCTTTTGACTTGCCACATATGACTGACCCGACAAAAATCGCTGAAAAATACAGTCAACTCTCGCTAAGTCGGACATCTTTGGGGCCGGTACTAAGTGTCCGTCTTAGAAAGATGTCCGTCTTATAGAGAGTCAATTAAAAGGGAGTAAAGAAAGGCAGGGACCAACTCGAGGTGTCCGTTTTACAGAGGTGTCCGTCTTATAGAGGTGTCCGTTAAGAGAGAGTCGACTGTACTGCCAAAAAGTTAAGGCTGAACTTTCGTTTACAATCTGGCATTTCAAAATCGACCATTCTCTGAGCAAATTCACAAAAGAAACTACGCAAGTAACTGATCCAGTCATAATATTACACCGCTACAATTGGCAAAAAGAAAGAAAAACAAACTATAAAAACTTTTTCGTGCGCTATATCAGTTCGGTCAGTCAAATCGTCCTTCTTCGGACACCAATTTAAACACATGAATCACAGGCGAGTTATGGATATCAGCAGGTTAGGAAAGATTACCCAAACGCCAGGCGAACGGTATACCCGAATAGTCAGTGGTTAATATTCGCCAAGGTCGTGACATATTCATCACCCTCAAAGAAAATGCTAAAACATGTCTAGCCGGATTTTTGATGACGAAATCGCCAAATGGACCTTTTGCGTCAAACAGTTTTTTTTTTTTCGGCCAAAACATGATTGACTCCGAAGTAGCTATGTTACAAAAACTAACAGAGCAACCACTGTTTTTCTCTCTTCTCCTCGCTCTTTCTTTTTCTCCTTTCCTTTTCTTTCGTTACTGTGATTTTGGAGCTTCTCGGGCGTAAGGAACCTGCCTGTTGATGCCTTTTCGCTCAAATGACTGCAAATTTCGTTAGTGCCTAAAAAAATCGGCTAGATATAAGGAACAAAATTGTATCCCAAAAAGATCGTTCATTAACCTGTAATTTTTTTCAGAAACAACATAAGATACACAACAGTGTTAGACATTTTGCTGAGCTTTTAGCAGGGGCACGGATTCCCTAGGAAAATACTGCGTAGGACGATTCGCGTGCGCGGGGGATGAACCCATCCCGCCTATTCGACGTGCGCGCGAGTTCCGTTTTCTATTCTTTCGTATCCATTTTTTTGTTTGGCCCTTTTTTGGGTGGATGAGTAGTTTTTTTTCCAAGAGTATACCAATAATAAGGCGAAATTCTCACTCCAAATATATTGTTTACGTTCTAACGCCCAGTTCTAACAAATACAAACTAGCTGTAGTCATGAGACGGACAATATATACCTGTGCCCTACCCCGTAAGAATAGTTGTTATTTTCTCACGCGGGTAGAAAGAAAAATAATTTTGAAATTCCCAGCGATACAAATCACTTCTTTTATTAATTGTGGAAATAAACTGATGAAGAAAACAATAGTTTGATTTATTGTAGCTGGCGCATCCAACAGACAAAAAAAGCGCTAAATTCTGCTGCCTTTTGTTTTGTTGAGAATTGTTAAAGTATTTGGGAGGAGTCCTGTCAAATCCCTTGAGAGTATTAACAGCATGCCTGTCAAATTCTTCTCGCATTACTAAGCGCATACGAAGAACAATTTACCAAATTTCGGCGACAAGCTCTTCTTTTTGGAGTTCAGAATAACGCTTAGATCCTGATTGTTAAGTATTTATGCGAAATGTTACATATTTGTGGCTTTAAAAGATCTATTTTTGCTCCTAAACGACGGCAAATTCGGGGGTAATCTGATGAAAATCCATTTTGCTGATTAAAAGATGCATATTTGTGTGCGAATGATTGACAGGTAATTAAGTCGACGAATCGTCCCCACGCTTAGCTCGGTTCTCTGCCAAACCCTCGCGACTGTTTAGGATTCCTTCTGGTAGTGAACATTTCACCTTCAAACGACTTCTGCAACCGAAAATAGGGACGGTGAATACAGGCTAGTTCCACAGGTATGGTTGTTCGTCTAAATTTAAGCAGCAAACGGTTGGAATTGGATTTCCAGACCTGTTTGTTGCTCTGCAGAAACGCGCCATGTCTAATATTGAAAGGAGTTTATTGTTGTAAACGCTTGTTTACCAGCTAAAAGATTTGAGGTTTGTTCGGCCTTTTGGCGAGTGAAAGTACCTGTCGGATAGATGAAACTAGGTTGAAGTTTAGCTTTGTTCCTTTGTGGGGGTCTTTGTGATGATATATTTCGGTTAGAAATGGTCGTTTTCGGAACGTAATGTATTTTTGTCTGAACAATGGAGCTCTTTTCGCCGAAAGTTGTCTCCTTGAATTCGGTAGTTCAGGATCCCGCGTGTTTGAAGCGTTTATCTGGTCGGCAAAGGCATGATTTGTGAGTTTTCTCTGCTCCTTAAATAGCCGTTTGTGCCTAATACTTCGAAATGATTGAGCGTCGCTTTTCTTTGATTTATTTTTTCGGTGAATTGATCTCGGCGCGTTGAGGTATATAAAGCTTAAGTGTATCTTACCGCTGCCTGATTTCGCTTGGTTGTGTATTACAATACGGCGCTAACATAGTTATTTATGTCTCTGAAAAGCCGATAATTCCATATGCCCTTCGCTGATTTCTGCAACTGCTACAGTTTATTACCTTTAATGTAATTTAGCGGGTCTAGTTTCATTCCAAATCCAGTGTTCCTTTTTTGTCTAACGCAGCAGTCATGTTTTTAACACGAAGAAGACGATTACTTGCTGTGTGGAGGCAGTGATAATAGGAGATTTATTCTGTCATTTGTACCACATGCACCTTTATAAAAAAGCCTTTTAAAATCCAGTGATGTTTTCTTGCGCTGGAAATTTTAATGAAGTTAAAGTTCGCTTGAAATGTACCTTGTCGAATCATCGATCAATCACTTGTTCGCACGATACTGATATGGCCCTGGCCTTACTCCTCGAGGCAAACTTCTTTACGTCGCGATGGTGACAACCTTCAGATCTTTCCCCTTGCTATTTCCGATATGTCAAGGAAAAAGATTTTTTATGTCAAGGACGATTTACGTATCAATTGGAAAGTTGAGGCGGCAAAGTCACAAACAATGTTTTCTCCTTTCTTTAGTTGAGTATGTTTTAGTGTGCATGCAAGAACACTTACAAGAACCTTAACTTTCCTTTGCAGATTTTTGATTTCCAGCTGGCAGATGCCAAATTAAAGAAGTAAAAGTTGGTAAGGAAATAATGTAAACTAAGAATTATATGTATTATGTATAACTAATATACAAAGTGAAGTAACAATCGCCATAAACGAACATCTTGTGGCCTAGGACTCTTTTACAATAATGTTAGATGGCCCGTGTTATTTTAGTGTTAAGGTTCGAGAATGTAGAAGATGCAGGTAAGCAGTTGTTAAGTTACGTAGAAACTGCTGAGTTAATCGTCTTAAAGAAAATTGAAGGAAATGTATATATTTGTCACGCTTTTTTTGGGTGGAAGAGAATTTCATTTAAGTCCGCGACATGGATGAATGTTTACCTTCCTGACAAAGAGTGCATTGATAAGCTTCGGAACTATTTTTCCGTCCGCAGTCACGTATCGTCACAAAGAAGGGACAAAACACTCGGAAACTGTCTGCCCTTTTATTCAATCCCGTAGTATTGATCGTATGCGAAATTCTAAGCTGTCTGTCCTTTTTTTTTTAGCGTGTGAAAAAAAAATCGCTAGAAACTTACGGTTATTTCGATCAGCGGTGAAACGGTAGGAAATTTCTTCATTACATGCTTTAAATACACGAAGCATCCGAGCGTGGTTTGCTAATTAGAGTTGGGTCTCTTTTTATGGTTCATTTGTTGGTTCCATTAGACAGATTTTTTTGTATAAACCACATCATTCATAACCGGTTTTTGGTTGTTGTGGCTAGGGACTTTTGTAAAAGGGCAACATGAATGTTACAGTCTCAAATCATAGGACCAATCTATACAAAATTCCTTTTGCATTAGTCGTCTTTTCTGGCATATGCAAATACGTAGGTAAACTTCTTAGTCAAGCAATACTTTGGGTCAAGTTCATCTAACTTGTATTGGTCATAGTCACTATTTTCTTTCTAGTGTCCTCTTAAAATTCCCAAAACCCACGCTCAGACGCAAGATCGTTGTAACATTCATAACAAATATTCCCCAAAACACATTATTCTTCAACCCATTTACAACCAGAAAGATACAAAACGATTTGTGCCATCTCAAAAATTAAAAAAGTGCATACTTCAGCAAGTTCTTTTCAGGTGAGAATGTAGATTTTGTACAAACTGAACTTACTTTTGAGTTGGCTCATGAGAGGTCCAAGTTTACCCCTTGATATCTAACATTTATGTTCTCCCAAAAATATTCATACATGATCAAAAGGCAAGGTTAAGAGAATAAACGAAACGCAGTCACCAAAGGGAAATGCTTTGATATTTTGTCAAATTCTCCAAACTAATTCTTAAAGTAAAAGTTTGGATTTCAGTATGGAGAATTTGTATTTTTTAAATATTGAGGCTGAAAGGGTTTACCGCAGGTGAGTGCTGTTCCTTTTGTTACATAATCAGTTGGGAGATATCAGAGAATGGTGAGCGATACACCGAAAATTTTGGGGTCTAGGAAACTTGATCTGATGTCAAAATCTTGTTTTTGTCTGGCTTTTATTTTTGGCGTGGATGAACTTTTAAGTTTTAATGGTACAAGTGCCAGCTTTTGCCTTGTGCCGCCCGTGATATTAGGTATCAGATGTTACTCTTAGTTATTAGAAATATGCCTTGTCTGAATCACTCAATATTTCTAAGATGTTTAGGTTGTGCAAGGTACAAATAATGATGGCTTATTTGTTTGGTGTTTGATTTTCGAATACTCATTCTTGATCACCTTTGCCATATCCTTGAATGAGAATGGGTCCGTTTGTTTTCGTGTGCTCTGTTTCACAAGATGTTGAGAGAGATGCTAGTACATGCATGGCCAGCTACGCTAAAATTGCTCGAATTGATCATTCTTTTGAACCAGCTATGACAGATCAGCATCAAGTGTTCTAGCGCATAGCCTTGGTTTACATGTCTCTTAACTATTGGGGAACATTGATATAACGAAGGGCTAAGGGTCTGGCAAAATATGTTCTCTACTTTGTAGCTTTATTATATAAAGGTTCTTTTCCATATATTTTACTCTTACTGGGGAGAGGAATTATTATCCTTTGTTATACCAAGGAGTTAGGGAAGAGAGGGTTCCACCTTACATATTTTGTTCACGAGTATTTTGTCATATAATATTACTTGTAGCTGTGTTATAAGTAACCTCTAATAGCTGAGTTTGCCACCTTGAATTTATTGTAAGTTAATGGGAAACTTGTTTGTGGTTGAAATAAATGTCACTCTTACAACTTCCTCTTTGAGACGAATGTCTTGTCAATCTCTGAAATATGAGTTTAAAAGATAACTTGATATTGGCCACTTTTATACTATCAAGATGCGTGATCCGTCTGGACGAACTTGGGCAAACATTTTGTAGTGGATCTTGTTATGTATTTTTAGTATATATAAAGAAGGGCACAAGAACCATAATGCATCCAGACGAACTACCTTTCATAGTGCATCATTCAAGACATATTTAGAAGGAAAGTTGGTCCAGGTGCTTAGTGCACCTTGTGCCTGTCTTTATACTTGAGACACATAACCAGACAAACTGCAAATGTTTGCCCAAGTTCGTCCAGACAGATAATGCATTTTTAGTATAAAAACGGCCATTGGCTTAGTCCTTTTTTTGTCTTATTATGGATCTCGACCTTGTCTTGGTCTCTTAAAACACAATATCTTATCATTTTATCTCTGCCAATGAACCCCAATAAATAGAGTTATTGTATGGCCTAAATTGTCAGCAGGACCTATAAAGCAGGCAATCTTAAAAGTCCATCGTTCCCCCTCGTGCAGGTAGCCACTCAAAATACTGAATTTCCTTCACCTTTGCTGCCCTCAGAGAGGAGGGCCATATTGTAAGAATAGGGTTATTTAGCAGCCATTATAAAGTAATCAGAAAGCTTTATTTAGAGAAATTTATTTGTTGCAGTTTTCACCATGGAGACAAGCAGACTTGGCGGCATACCTCATGGTGAAATGAGCAAGGAAGCACAGACGGCAATGTGGCATCAACAATACCACCATCATGATTCCGGTATCATGTCCGGTGCGACTACCACCACACACTCAATCAAAGGTGATGATGATGACGACTACATGAAGACCACACATATGACGTTTGAGTGGGAGCAAGGTTTTTCAGATCAGGATATGCATGCCATGAATGAGCAGTTTGTCTCTACAAGGAGGTACGTGCAACTTGCATCTCATGATTACATTGATTGAAAAGTATTTTAGAGGGGTCTGACATTTTTTGGCTGATCGAAAATATTGTTTCTGCAAAACGTTTCTTGGCGGTAAGATGTTATCGAAATGATTGCCTACAGGATTGTTCTAAGTTTTAGAAATATTGCTCATTGTGCATTTATTTACATCCTTTGGTTTTTTTTTTCTAAACAGCCAGCGTATCCGTCAAGCTATGTTTCCCGAAACTCTTGAAGAAGGAGCACATATTCCATCCACGCAGTTTGACTCTGCTTCTTCGACTGCTGTACAGCGGCTTGCAGAGCCATCGCTAATGTTAAAGCAAGCTGTTGTAAACCTCATCAATTATCAGGTACATTGTATTATTAACATCATGACTGAGGGGTTATGTCATAGTCACATAACCTCACCTTTGTGGTCAAAGCTGAGCTCAGAGTAAAACTCTTCTCTGTCATCTTTTGTCATTCTTGGAACCCTAAAAGAAAGAAAAACAAAGCACATTTGGTTTTGTTCATATTTTGACACTATAAGAGTTAAACCAAGCTGCATCATTTTCCATACTAGCCATTGAGAACTGGAAACATATGTCAATATAGTCTGGTTACACAGTAGAACCCCGGTAAGTGGAACTCCTTAGGGGAACAAAAAACAGTTTGAGTTAGCGGAAAATTCAAGTTATCGGGGTAAATTTCGGTGAAAATTTGATAAAGGGAAAGGAAATTTAGTTCGAGCTAGTGAGGAAATCAAGTACGGAGTTCGGTTATTGAGTTTCTAGTTTACTAGTAGAATAAACATGAATAAACTGAATCACTAGTTTAGGTTTTCTTCTGATGTGTTTTCAGGTTTCCAAAGCAATACTGAAAATTTTGACGTGGCTTCTTCAACATTGACCACTCCAGAAATACTATAACATACCATAATGCTCTTTGTTTGTCACCTCAAAATTTGCATAAGCATTGTCTTCAGTTTCTCTTGGGAGTTAAAATGGCCTCAAGAGGAACTGAAAACAATGCTTATGCAAAATTTTGGGGTGACAAACAAAGAGCATTATGGTATGTTATGGTATTTTCTGGAGTGGTCAATCGTGAAAATGTCAAATTTTTCTCTCCAAGACAAGACAAAGATCTCAGACAAATTTAAGCTAAGCAGTTTCTTTTTATGCCTTGTAGGATGATGCTGATCTTGCGACCCGCGCCATTCCCGAACTGACCAAGCTGTTGAATGATGAAGACCAGGTAAGTAACTCAGTGATGTGACGACATTTTGTTCAAGGCACTGTAAAGTCAGCATTGGGAATCTATACAGCTGTAGTTTTTGAATCAGTAGTACCAGGTTGCAAAGAAAATCATTTCTACAGCTTGCCACTTGGGCAAGCTGAAGCTAACATTTACTAGCCCAGACGTCATTTCAACTAGCCCAAAAGCTTTTGGAAGAGCAGAATTGATCTTACAGTTCTTCTGTTTTTCGAATTCCTCAAAAAAGATCACTTGCCCATCGGGCAAGTTAACAACAAGATTCACTAGCCCAATAGCAAAATCCATTAGCCCCGGGCTGTCGGACACCACTTTCTTTGCACACTGAGTACCCTCCTTGAAACAAATTGTTAACAATTTTCCATGGTCTACAGTCGACTCTCTCTTAACGGACGCCTCTATAAGACGGACACCTCCCTAAAATGGACACCTAGAGTTGGTCCCTGCCTTTCTTTACTCCCTTTATTTGACTCTCTATAAGATGGACATCTTTCTAAGACGGACACTTACTGCCGGTCCCAAAGGTGTCCGTCTTAGAGGGAGTTGACTGTATACTCTTTTAGTAAAATCCAAATAGTGGTCTATTATCAATGCTGCATTCTGATTGGTTGAACTACTACTAGGCTATATGTTATAGCCCACTAGTAGCGAAAAGCGCCGGCTTTTTGGCGGCAAAGGATTAAAGTCTAGCTGTAAGTAGCTAAAACTTTTTTATTCTTGATGTTTTTGATCAACTAGTTGGATTTTACTAATTGGCCTCATAGCCCATTCAGCCTTCGGCATCATGGGCTATTGACTCAGAGCCCATTCGGGCTCAAGGAATAATTGTTGAATAGCTAAGACCATAGTAACAGTGTTGGGAATTGAAATTTCATAATGGATCATCAGAAATATTTGGTTTGACCTGAATCCCTTGATAAGAATTTTGTTTAATTTTCACTTGTGTGCAAGCAAAAAGAATATAATCTTTTCAGCTTTTTGATGGCGGCCACTTTTATCAATCATGATAATAATTTTTATAAACAAAACAAACCCTTTCAAACCAAAATAGAGAATAAAGGACAGTCATTTTGCCATGAAGCATGACAAAAACAAACAAAATGTATCAAAAAAGGGTCACCCTTAAATATTGTATGTGCATTATGAGTTCATAAAAATTAAAAGACAATACACAAGTCTTAATATTAAATTTTTTTTTGTCAAGAAGATTTTATTTGTTTTTTCACAAATATCTGTGTTTTAGGTTGTTGTTGGACAAGCAGCCATGATGGTTCATCAGCTGTCCAAGAAAGATGCCAGTCGTCATGCCATCATGAACTCACCGCAGATGGTCGCTACCCTTGTAAAAGCTCTTAACAACTCCTCTGATCCCGAGACCACTCGATGCGCAGCTGGTACATTACACAACCTTTCTCATCACAGGTATATCAACTCTTCATATGTTGTGACGAGTTTCATATGTTGTGACGCTGACGAGTTTTGTGACGGTGACAATTGTTGTGACTTTAAAAGGTGTCCTAAAAGCTTTTTTTGTGAAAATCAGTGAAGTTAAAGTCTTGTGTCATGAAGTATCACACATTTAAACAGTATTATCACAGTAAATTCAGTTATTAATTTAAAAACTTTGTCCTTTATTTGCAGGCAAGGTTTGTTATCTATCTTCAAGTCTGGTGGCATCCCTGCTCTTGTGAGAATGCTTGAGTCGCCTGTTGAAGCAGTGGTTTTTTATGCTATCACCACTTTACATAATCTGCTACTTCATCAAGAAGGAGCCAAGATGGCTGTCAGACTGGCAGGAGGTCTTCAGAAGATGGTGGCATTGCTTGGACGCACAAATGTCAAGTTTCTGGCTATTGTAACAGGTACAAGACCTTGAGGTTGTGTTATGATATAAGTGTTGTTGTTGTTTTTTTTAAATTCCTTTTGTCAGCCTCACTGCATTTTTGGTTCAAAATTAGACTAGAAAGATTACTTCTTGCATAGGTTAGAGCTCCGGGGCTCTCTTGAATTTTTTGTTAAGCACAGGCTTGCTTTCTACTTTAGTGGTACAACCTAGTGTCCTTTCATAGTGTCAACTTTAAAAAAGTGAACTCTTTGTAGTAGACAAATATCCTGTCTTTTGTTGAATGCAGACTGTCTCCACGTGCTGGCTTATGGTAACAAGGAAAGTAAACTGATTATCCTGGCATCTGGTGGGCCAGCTGAGCTTGTGCGCATCATGAGAAGTTATACCTATGAGAAACTCCTCTTCACGACCAGTCGTGTGCTTAAAGTTCTGTCTGTGGATACTGACAACAAGCAAGCTATTGTAGAGGTAAGAAATAGTTTTTTTCTGCTTTGTTTTTTGTTTTATTTACTTGCTGCAATAATATTTTCAAGTTTGTTTATTCAATCTGGAAAGAAGGCTTTTGTACAGTACAGGGAATATGTTTATCTCTTGTTTTTACCCTCATGTTGCTTGCTATTTATTCCGGGTGACAGAAGAAGAAATTAACAATGCACATCCTGAACACAAAAACCGAGGGGTTGAATTTATGTGATCTGTGGATGCAACCAACTTCATAATGAGTTGTGACATCTTTGGAAAGGAACACAAGTAATAGGGCTGTCATTAAAGTTTTAAGTTGCCGGGCTAATGATACAAACTCAGGCGGGGAATCCAACAGTTGGGGTTTTTTTTGGTTCTGTTTTTCTTCTCTTTTCCTTCAAAAGTAACGATGGTCACATTCATAATAGGTGGAAAAAATCAGCGGCCCCTAGCCCTTAATAGGGAGCTTTAGCAACGGCAACGGCGACGGCAGCAAGAACTTCAAAAAAGCAATAGACTTGTTAAGCAAAACATCACATTTGCAAATGCATCACACTTTTTTGTACATTTCTTTGCCTTCTCCACACGACTACGATGTGAAAATGCATAATTTCACGTTTTATGGAAGTTGTAAACAAGCAGCAACGAATTTTTCTTTCTCCTTCTAAACTTCGGTGCGGTCCCCAAGCAATCAACTCCAGGGAAATTTGCCCACTTTTGACATTTCAAGCGAACTGGAATAAACGCGGACGAGTTTGAAAAAACGCAAATTCATTTTTAAAGTGACCTTTTCCCTGCCGTAGCCGTCGTTGGTGCTAAAGCTCTCTAATGACAGCCCTGAAGGAAAGTTGTTCCTGTGATTGGTTACTTAATGATGTGGTACATACTTAGTGATGTTGAAGTTAATGTTGCCTATATTTTACTCAGGCTGGAGGTATGCAAGCCCTTGCTATGCATCTTGGGCACCAGAGTAACAGGCTCGTCCAGAACTGCTTGTGGACACTTCGCAACCTTTCAGATGCCGCTACCAAAGAAGATGGACTTGACAACTTACTTCAGATGTTGGTACAGCTGCTGTCGTCCAATGATATTCAAGTCGTGACATGCGCAGCTGGAGTCTTGTCCAACCTGACATGCAATAACCCCAATAACAAACAGCTTGTGTACAGGTTTGGTGGAATTGAAGCCCTGGTGAGGACGTGCATGCAGGCTGGAGACAGAGAGGAGATCACTGAGCCAGCGGTAAGTTAGTTGGCTATGTCTGCTGTCTTCATCATTGGTGGTTAATTAAGAATTGTATTGTTACAAAAGCAGGGAAGGGAAAGGGGAAAAATGTCAGAAAGGCCCTTCAGGGCAAAGTATCTCAACTAATTTTGTCGCTGATTGTAGTTACATTTTAGTAGAGGTGGTCTAACACTGTATGCTCCTTTCAGGTCTGTGCGCTGCGCCATCTAACCAGCCGTCATGAGGATTCTGAAAAAGCCCAGAATGCAGTTAGGGTTCATTTTGGCTTGCCAGTCCTTGTAAAACTGCTTTACCCACCATCCCGTTGGCCGCTCATCAAGGCTGTTATTGGTCTCATGCGAAATCTTGCCCTTTGCCCTCTCAATCATACTCCGATCCGTGAGCATGGAGGCTTGCCACAGCTTGTTCAACTTATGATGCGTTCTCATCAAGATATGCAGAGGAGGCCTGGGCAGAGTGTGGTGATTGATGGCGTCAGAATGGAAGACATTGTTGATGGGTGTGTTGGCGCACTCCATATCTTAGCACGAGAGGCACACAACAGAGCTGTTATACGAAGTCTCCATTGCATTCCACTGTTTGTTCAGGTAGTTAATACATTTTTTGGCAGGGATGTACCACTTGTAAATTTGTAGACAGTTAAGAATAAGGATTTTTCAGGGAATTTGGAGAATTTCAGGATTACAATATTATTCTTCTGTAATTTGAATTCCCAAAAAACCTCACTTGCCCATTAGGAAAGTTAAGAACTGAATTCACCAGCCCAATAGCAAAATCCTCAAGCCTCTTATAATCGGAGACTACTTCCTTTCCACGCCACATTTTGTGTCTATCTATACTTTGAAAATTTATCTGGTGGAAATGCTAAAATTAGCCTGTTAGTTCTGTTGGCGTGGGAACATTTTAAAAACAATGTAATAAGACAATGATCCTTTCTTTTTTCAGCTTCTATACTGTCCCATTGAGAACATCCAGCGTGTTGCTGCAGGAGTGCTCTGTGAACTAGCCCAGGACAAAGAAGGCGCTGAAGCCATAGAAGCTGAAAATGCAACTGCTCCTCTAACCGATCTGCTTCATTCAAGAAATGAGGGTATCGCTGCTTATGCTGCTGCTGTGCTTTTCCGTATGTCTGAAGATAAGTCACAAGATTACAAAAAACGGCTGTCAGTGGAGCTGACGAGTTCTCTCTTCCGAGATGATGCCCCTTGGCCTGAGGTAAGGAGTGTATTGTCAGTGGTGAATGTTGAAGTATTAACCTTTTAAGCCCTAAGAGTGATCAGCATCTAATTTCTCCTTGTAATATCAATGCTTTGTAAAACAGAGTGATCATGAGAATTAGGGACATGATGAATTAGCTTGATATTTTATCTACTTCTCCCCACTACCTCTGTAGGAAGTGAATAGGGGCAACAAATAAGAATTCAAATTTTGATCTTAGGGTTCAATGTGTTAATAATTGTTTAAGCCCCAACGGTGACCAACATCAACTTTCTTCTAACACTGTCCATAACAAAACACTAAAAAAACTGTGCTCTCTCTATCAGAGAGCTATTTTTCTTAGAGCACAGCCAAGTACAGCCTTCTAGTCCCCTAGTCTTTGCACACTAACTTAAGAGGTTTTTTGTTTTCTTTCTTCAGCCAATGGATGGAGACTTCCATGACCCAAATTACAATATGCCACCTATAGGCTATGGTTATCCTCACGATGGCTTTGACTACAATCAGCCAATGGATTATTCTCACGACCCAGGTTACGACTTCCACCAAGGGGATCCTGCTTTGCAACCTCTTGCACACCCCCCTCCTCGAGGGGGAACCTGGTATGACACAGATTTGTAAAGTTGAAGATGTAAACCTTTGTGAAGGGCTTTTTTGAACTTTTGATTTTCTTACCGTGAGGAAGACCAGAGCATTGAGCTGTAGTGCTACATAAAGCAAGAATTACTAGAGAAAGAATTGCTTGTAGTACAGTATTGTCATTTCAGGATTTCTGATCAAGACCTTTATCTTGTTATTTGCAAGCTGTGTTGTATTCATTGTCAATGTCGGTAGCATTCCAAGTTTAAAATGTTAAGTTCTATAAAACAGGCTTTCTAATTCTCTTTCCAAATGGTCTTGGGATTGAGAGACCTTTGTAAAAACTTCCATCCTTTTACTTTCATCTTTCACAGTTCTATGTACATTTGAATAGTTCTTAGTAGTTTGAAGAGTCCAGAGACTTCGATGAAAAATGTCTAAAACTAAACTATTCCCTCGTTGGAAGGGATGTAAAATTTTAAGTGGCTGGTGTGTACAGCCTAAACCTCGTGTTGGCAGTTTTTCTTATTCCATTTTGTCTGCAAGTCATGTATTTTTAAATCTTTCAAGTTTGATTCTAAAAGGAACAAAGCATTTCTCCCTGAGTTTGTTTTATTTATGTTTATTTGCAACACAGCAAGTGTTGTTTTCATCAAATGGCAGTATTCTGAGACTGTATGGTGAACGAAATAACTGTTGCATAGGAGCCAAGGTTACAGACTTTGGAACATTCTGATTTAAACCTTTGGCTTTGTTAAACAGAAAACCCTTCCTGAGTTATTTAGTTCCCAGGCTCCACTCCTCTTTTAAATTCCTAGTTCCCAGAGCCTTTTCAACAAAATGCATATTGAGGTAGAGGATGGGAGAGGGGAGCCTGGGTTTTTTGTACAAAAAAATCAAGTCATCTGTATATTTTGTCAAATATTTTGTTTTTCAATCAGAACCTTTGGACCAATTTACACTGTTGTAAGCTGGATAATTATTGTTTCTCTAGTAAAGCTTTTGTATTTTCCTCTTTTTTGGTTTTGAGGGGACAAAGGCTTTAACTTCTAATCCTCTGTCTGCAACGGTTTTTGTCATTAAGCAATAATTTGTTAATTGTTCGCTGCTTAGAAATAGGAGGAAAACTGGAGCAGAGGTGTTCCCCGCAAGTGTTTGTGGGATCGCTACTGGGGACACGCCGGTCAGCTATTGGCCAATTTTGTAACAGTCCCAGATGTCTTGCGTAAGTTAACTCGACCCAGATTTTTTGTCGTTTTTCAAGTGGTGAATTTGCTTATGACAATGGCCACAGACTAAGTAACTGCATTCTCTTTTTTGACTGTATTATATATCATTATTTTGCTTTCTTCTTTCGTTTGCTAAGAATATGTTTGTATAGATTACCTAGTGGTAGGCTTAAAAATGCTGAAGAGCCAAATAATTTTAGGTATTTTTAGTCAGGCTTGGCTGTGTCGCTTAGTAGTGTATTACAATGATTGATGTGAGCAGCTATGTGCAATTAAATTTTATAATCAGGTAAAATCGATGGTCTTTTTTCTTTCTCGTTTCACTTGTTTACCCTGTTACAGATGTTTACGTGTGATAAATTTTGTCAAGATTCGGAAGACATATTTCGCGGTCTTGAGACAACAAAGTAACCTAAATGTTTTTAACTTCACAATCTCCTCTGACTGCTTTGAAGTCGTTCAGACAAATCGAATGCAAGAGACCGTCACAGTAAACCTATGTTCACACTCACTCCAGTTCTCCCCTCCCTCTTTCTATGTCACGAAACGCTGGGAGAGAGACTCTCTCTTTCCCGGCTTTGCGTGACAGAGGGAGGAGTCAGAACTGGACTATGCTCACTCTGTATACCGAACAGCTTTTTGTGCCGACACAAGAGCTATTCGGTATAGGGTATAGTGTAACCACTTAACCGATTTGACTCTCCACTTTAGAGATCGCCAAGCGCAGCTTCGCTCCGTTACAGATAGCCTGTTCACAGACCCTCTATATTCTCATCAAAGTCCGTCGAGCGCGCGTGAAAAAAAATGAACCGCGGGGGATTTATTGACCGCCAGCGCAAGGGGGTAGGGGTGAGGGGGGATGGAATATTTTTCTTTCTCGCGCTCCGCGGTCGCTCTCGCGCACGCCAGTGTTTTCCAAAAGAACGAAAAGAAAAATAAAACAACGTCCGTCCGTGTACAGGCTACATTACAGAAATCACACCGAAATCACCGTTGTTATGTGTTCATCGGCAGAAGCCATATCCGGTATGGTTTCCGTACCGGCGCCAAAGCTATCCGTGTAGTGTAAACACCCATCCGTATCACGCCGAAAATTGACACCATTCTTATCTGTGAATAACCTGGGTGCCAGAGGCTTTTCATGCGCGGTTTCCGGTTTCAGTCAGTCTTAAAAGGTGACCCGCGCGAAAAGCTTCGCCGCTCGTGACTTCGGCCTTCGGCCGACAAAACGAAGCTTCCAGTCGCACACGAGAAACAACCTCTGGTACCCGGGGTAATGTGTGGACGGAAGCCCCGTTCAGGTAAATGAAGAGTGAAAAGGAGAAAAATAAAGTGGAAAGTCTAACGAAGACAAGAGAAATAACATTTTCAACTAAATCTCAACCCTCAAAGTCGGCAACTCCCAAAACTTGTTTCGTTTTATGGGGTAATAATGTATACTTTTTCCGCTTCCTTTTAAGGCACCAACTGGTCGAATCCCCTCATTGTCTCGATCTTGTATCTTTTAACGTGCCGATCAGAGTGGACTGGGAAAAATCCATCATGAGATTGAGTACTTTTAAGGTGGCTCGATACAGTTTTTCAGGGTCAATACCTCCCAAGCTTGAGCATAAACTACGTCGCCAAAAACAAAGTTTTGGAAAAATTGCCACCACAGTTGTATTAGATGAAGATGAAAATTTGTTATGATCAGGGTTGCAACGGCATCGGAGTTGTCATGGCAACGAAATGACGCTTTTACATATTTTACTTAAAGCAGCCTATCTAGGCACTGGGAACTGGGAAATCAATCACGGGAGCTTTTTCCTCCAATAGCAACCTCGATGTTCGTGAAGTTTAAGCGAAATCTATAAGAGCGTTATCGAGATATTTTGGGATAAAGTTTTTATTGTTAGAAACAGTAAAAAATGGACAATATTGTTGTTTGGCCGTTACCTGTAGAAAATTAAGCGCTTTCGACATGAAATTTCACCTCATAGTAGTTTCAATCTTTTTAAAAGCGTATGTGAAAGATCATGGGAGATAGCTCCAGCCGATTGCTAGAAAGAAGGGTTTGATTAGTATGCATTGAAGAGCTCTTGTTAGCGGTTTTGTGAACATTTTGGTCTACTTTAAGAAAGTAGCGAATAACTTTTAAACCGCTCGATAGATTTTTTTAAAAATTTACGATTCTTGAGGTTAATCTTCCTTTATATGACCTTTTAGTTTCAAGATTATTGATATATTGTAAGGCAGTAGAATAAGGGCTACAATTCGTTACTTTTTTATCGGAAGTTTCGTCATTATCAGTGACAGCCTCTAATTATTCAAGGCATTGTCTCCAAGTTTCATTTTCACGTGAACAGCAGTAACTAACAATGCATTTGAAATATGCAAAAATTCTAGCTATTGTTATGCACGAAAATATGAAACTTGGACACAATACCCTGAATAATGAGAGGCTCATACTTGTAAACACAAACTTTCTGCCAAAATATTAGCGAACTGTAGCCCTTATTTTACTGCCTTAAAATATATCAATAATCTTGACACTAAAAGGTCATATAAAAGGAAGGTTAATCTCAAGAATCTTAAATTTTTTAAAAAATCTATCGAGGGGTTTAAAAATTATCCACTAATTTGTTAAAGTAGACCAAAATCTTAAAAAAACCGCTAACAAGAGCGCCTCGATACATGCTAATCAAACCCTTCTTTCTAGCAATCGGCTGGAGCTATCTCCTTGATTTTTCACAAACGGTTTTAAAAAGATTGAAAGTACTATGAGGTGAAATTGCATGTCACAAGCGCTTCGTTTTCTACAGATAACAGCCGAACACCAATATTGTCCATTTTTTATCGTATTTCTAACCACAAAATCTTTATCCCAAAATATTTTGATAACGCTCTTACAGATTTCGCTTAAACTTCAAGAAAATCGAGGCTGCTATTGGAGGAAAAAGCTACCGTGAATAATTTTCGAAGAACAGTTCCCAGTGCCGAGATATACTGCTGCAAGTAAAATAGGTAATAGCGTCACTTCGTTGCTATGACAACTCCGATGCCGTTGCAACCCTGATCATAACAAATTTTCATCTTCATCTAATACAACTGTGGTGACAATTTTTCCAAAACTTTGTTTTTGGCGACGTAGTTTATGCTCAAACTTGGGAGGTATTGACCCTGAAAAACTGTATCGAGCCACCTTAATTTTCGGTGAACAAAAACCTTTTTAGCCGGCGTGGAAGTAGTCTGCTACACAGCCGTTTTTAGTGTCGTCACGCAACGCTCCTCGCCCAAAATTCCCCTTTCGCCTTCCTTTTTTAACGCCTGCCACGCAGGCTAAAACCTTTTAAGCCATATCGCACTTTTTTTTACACTTTTCAAGTGCTACAAATGTTCATTTGTAATGAGTCATACGAGATAACTCCAAATCAGTAAAAGGTTCCTATGGGAGCCCGAGAAAATAAATTTCAAATTTCTCAGGAATTGAGAAAATGATAGGTAAAATCGTTTTAAGTAAGATTTCATTTTGTGGCATTTGAAGCTTTTGAATTTTTGTTTTCTCGGGCTCCCATAAGAACCTTTTCTTTATAGTTATTTCATATAACTTATTACATTTGTAGCCCTAAAAAAGTGCTAAAAAGAATGCAATAGGATTGAAATTATTCTGGTATACGGTTTTTGTCCACTGAAAACTAAAATTACTCTTCTTCCTAATGGATTTTGTCTTAAATTTTCGCCCGTCCAGAGGCGTCAGCTAAGGCGTACCTAGAAATTTCAGAGGTTCTCTAAATCAACTCTACCCCCAGTCTCCCTGGTGAGGTAATCATCTCTCTTCGTCTTAGTCTTCATGCAGGAAGCAGTGTAATAAAAGGGGTATAGAGGGTCCCGATATGTTTGGGGAATGCGGGAATTTTCCTCGTTTGAAGGGCGGGATTCGGCATTTAAATGAAAAATGGAGGGCGACTATTCCGGATATGCCGAAACAACCATTCTGGGGTCTGTTTTCGGATAGGTCCGGTAACTTTTTGGGTTTGAAGGCAAATTTTGAAATCAATACCTTTTGAATAGTAGCACAGTTCCTAGCTCCCAAACCGGTCCATTTTGGTTCGTTAACTGATGTTTCAGGTTCATTGTATTATTTCCATCTTACAATTAGAACCTGTTTAACTCAATATAAAACGTGACATGCTAAAGCGAGACATTTCAACTATGTATTTTCTTTCTCTTAGGTAAGGCTTCTCTCTACTCATGTGTTACTTTCTGTATAACTTGCTCTTAATTTCAACCTTTACAAAACTGCGCACAAAAAATGTTTCAGTTAGAAGTGACATGCAATGTGCGGAATGCATAAATTGACTTTTTTCATCTACTATATGGTAACACTAATTCTTTCTAGAGGTTAGCCTGTACACAGACGTTGTTCCGCGCTCGACGGACTTCGAAGAGAAGAACAGGCTATCTACAGGTAACGTGGACTCCATTCAAGTGACCTCCTAGAATTCCAAGTTCATTTCCTTATCACGTGATTTAGTTCCTTGGGCCGATGAAATAGCGCTGCGCACAGTTCTATTTATAGACCCGAAACTCAGACAAACAAACTGAACTTTATAAAACATCAGCGAATTCCTCACTTTTGTTTAAAAATGTCATGTTTGTCGGTCTTTTGTCATTAAAATGAGAAAAATGGCAAAACTCAGACAAAAGTTGCAAATTCGTTACTCTGACGTCATTCGCGCGCTACGCTATTGAT